CTGGTAGCTGTGTTTACTTTTATCTGGTCGCTGTATTTACTTTTTATCTGGTCGCTGTGTTTACTTTCAGGAGGCATTTTTTATTTCATAAACCCGGAAAATACGTTAATCAACATATTAATTAAGTGTGATGGTCATTATTTGCCTCTACTGTTTTATTTCTAAAGCTGTATTTAAAAGTGTTATTTACTTTTGTATCTTCGTTTTAAAACTCGTTTAACTATAGTCGAGATCCTTCCCAGTAGAAGTGGTTTGTGAGACAGAAGTGGGACTGAGACTATGTGTCTAGAAGACAAGGGTGGACGGCAATTGTAAGACAAAAGGAAGGCTGGATGCGACAGGCACGTTATTGGTATCGGACTTTGATGGTGAAGCAACCGGATAACGTGTTTAGATTGTATCGTAAAAATACGGTAAATTAAGTAACGGAGAGGTGTGCATCAAACATCAGGACAGGCTGATATCATACTAAAATTCACATTTGAAGTTTTAAAAAATTACGATTAATGACAGCTTTTGGTCGTAATCAGAAACAAATGAAGGGTCGACCTTTCTGACGAGTACGGAGCCTTGTGCTGAACACTGATGGCGTCAAGTGGGAACCTAATTGAAACAGTGTCACAGCCAACTCAATCCCCGCCTCATTAACACGCGAGCCAGTCTCGTTTGTTTGGCCTTTTGTTTATGCTGATGGTATTAGGGATTCCTTGTTTGTCACTGTCACCGCGACGTTTTGAAGCTGTGACAGTCAGCAAGATGTAAGAGGGATTAGGGATTTCAAAGAGCCTCACTGATGATGATGCCAAAGAGATTGTTTTTTCCACAATGGAATTCCTTCATGAAATTGCTTTATATATTGAATAGTGCTTGATTTCAGACAATCGCGACAAAGAATAGCCATTTTGCAGTCTTAAGAAAATATGTTTAATTTCACAGTCGGATCTCATGCCAGACAATGTACTACTGCCATGCACATCGACAGGCAGATCAGTGCCGCGCATTACCGATGAATACACTATCCTTCAATAGTTACACTATTATTTGTAGGGAGTTCGTAAAATAAAATGAATGACTTTTTTTTTTTGCATGAAAAGGTCACCACAGCAGAAATGGGCTGTATGGTTCCGGAGTCAGGAAAATGTTTTACACAAAGCTAAAGGTCATAGGTCTCTAAATGCACTAAGTAAATCTAGTGCTTTTATGTGTTTTGGTTGGTCGTTTATCAGTGTTATGTATATGTGTGCGTTACTCACCAGGGAGAACGTGCTAATAGACTTTCTGGTTTTCTTTTGGTGTTCACGAGACGAGGTGGCGCATGCTTCACGTTTCAGTTGAGAGTCCGGCAAATAACCTTGGTCAATGTTATCACGGTCTGCCTATTTCTTCAGTTTAAAAATGTATTTAAACTTCACTAGTAAAGTTGAACATAACAGAGGACAAAATTGTTTACGAAATCACATATATAAAATGTTACTCCCTGAATTATGTTTGTTTCTATTAAGATAATTATGTAGTCCCTTTCAGTGTATTTAGGGTCTAGACCGAAAATATCTGTCTCTGAAATGATGATGGAATGTCAGTATTCAGCCGTGAAAAATTGGGATTTTTTTTTTCGTATCACAGACAATGGGGTTTGTTGATTAGTGTCTAAGACATGTAGTGTTGTAGTCTCATGTTGATATAAAAGTCACTAAAACTGCATTAATGTTTCTCTATATATTGAAACCAATCGACAAATACCTTCTGTCGAATGATTCAGCCTTACATATTATTCGGTATTTCGCATCTAACTCCGATCGGACTCGATTTCTTAGTCATATCCGGATATAATGTAACTCAGTCCAGATCCATATTCTACTTTGAAATGTTGGAAGTTTAACATGTTCGCCATGCTTTCACACAAAGCACGTGGGTTTGTCTAGATGAGTTCAGCACCTATTGACAATAATGATGGGGTCAGAATGCTCTGTACATGGAGGCTTAGTTAACCAGCTATATCATGGCACCCAGACCGCCTAACCAGACCCGTATTGTAAGTCATTGGTCCCAGTATATACAGAGTTGTGACCCTTTGTTACGTTTTGATGAGTTTGGTTGGAGTTACTGTTTTTCACGTTGTGTTTGATACAAATCATTATATCATTTTCATTTTAAAACATTACCTTTTAAAATGATTTAAAGGAGATTGAAATACAATTTATAGACAAGAAAAATACATCTGTTATAATTAGTATCTCTATATCCGTGGTATAGGTTTTGTGTAAAGAAAGCGACACCTCAAAGACACGCTATTTAATACAGGAAGCTGTTTTATTTCATTGTTTCAAATTTTCCCAATTTATATAAAAATTGAAACATCACAAACATGTTCCTCGTAAAGAGAACTTTATTTGTTTACATTATCAATATTATTTTCTCCACTACTTTTTCCCCTGAATATATCCATCCTCAAAAAGAAAACCTCGAAAATAATATTTACCGTATAAAATCTAAAAAAAATCTCTGTATCAGTCGATCTACAATGAGAATGGACACATTGGAACAGAGTTACTAAATATATCAACTACGGTAAATTTGATATGCAGCTCGGTAGACCTTAATAATGTATGCCTTTCAGATGTGAAAAGGCTGAGCAGGATTAACTGTAGAGGAAATCAAAGTGTATTGTGATACTTCCAGTAATGCAACATATTATATTAATGGTGTTTACTCTACCAGATTACAGATTAAAACGCATTCGGTACTTTCCCCTTCAATTACAACTCAGTAAAAATGTCCACATTGTGAATAAAGATTTTAATCAATTATATAATATAAATGATAAATTGACAGTTTAAAACCACATTTAAATGAAAATCTGAACAATCAGTTTTATATTTCGGATCAATATTTAGATGAGATGTCATTTAACAAAATCAATCAAGCAATTTATTTGTGTACGGTAGGTTGATTTTTATATTGGCTGTGTTGACAGATAGGTAATATATATTGAATGTACTTGTCAACTTCAGTTGGCGGATATTTAAATGTTTTGTGTACCCAGACTAACTTATATAAATAAATAGAAAGTTGGGCTACCGTACGTCTCTCACTAACCTTAGCAACGCCAAAAATCGAGGGTCCAGAGGGGTGTCCTTCCTGTCAATTAATGCAAGGTTCCATTATCGCTCTTGTCTTAGACGTAAATTCGACAACCCGTATCATCAGAAATTTAACACAAACTTCTGCTAATAACATTTTTATGGCAGTATATATATGTTTAATGCGTTGATTCATTTCTTGGGAGTTGGCGTGTCACTGGTGAAACTTTCAAGATATTTTAACACTCACCCGTACAGGCAAAAACCACAAAACTGATTTGATCTTATTCATACCACAAATTAAGATATCGATATAAAATATCGACCCCTATCTGTTTCTAAACCCTGATCTCCCTGTAATGATACTTTACCAGTCAACATATAGTGGAAACTCTGTACATAATTTACTGTAATAGATCGGTAGCTTCCCCAATGTATAACACCATGACCATCTGTACAAATATTGAACCTGGTCCTGTCGGAAAACATGTCCGTGAATCTCATTTAGTCAGCAATTATTGGGAATATTCAAACCCCCCCCCCCCCCCCAACCTCCTCCCTGAAAAAAAGTTTACATTGGCAGTAGTGAAATTGTAATTACACTTAATCAATGATGATATTCTATACCACAATGTTCTGCACGGTCCTCTGTGATTATTCCTTGTTTACATATTACCATCTGTTGTGGTTTTCATGCCAAAATGGACACACGATGACTAATACTGTGGGGTTACATTATGTCTGATAACACGCTACGTAATATTGGTAATTTTGGATCACAAATCACTTGGGAAATTCCTTGTGTTCGCGAGAAGTCATCACAATGTACGGGTAACACGCTACGTTTAAGAAAACTTAAAACTTGAGACAATCTCTTATAGCTGTTATAAGTATATTTATCATGTTAAACGTTACAAAAACACAAAACTATTTGTTGTACTAAAACTTATATGGTTCAATTAATAATTGATGAGATCATTAAAATTCCTCTTCGTAGATTACGAATTCATAAGAAAAAAACAAAAATTGGCCATTGTTTTTTTATTAGACTGGTAAAATAACATATAATGTGAGGGATATATTTTGATGACCTTTGTTGCTCGATTCTGGTATGAGATGAGCTCCCTGTGTGGTTTTCAAAATACCCGATAGACACATAAAATATCATCATCCAATCCTGGCTGTTGTGATCAGTATGGGACTGTAGGATTGCCTATAAAACAATGATCAATACATTCTATACATCATGTAGCAGTAAAACCAATTATCAATACTACATAACAGAAAATGTCACACTAGGATAGCTGATATGTTTAATGTCAATTTAGTATCACATGTCACTATATCATATCTACCAGAAATAAGTTTGATATACGATATAAGTAATGATAAGTAATGATATACAACATAAGTAATTGAAGTAATGATATACAACATAAGTAATGACATACAACATAAGTAATGATATACAACATAAGTAATGACATACAACATAAGTAATGACATACAACATAAGTAATGATATACAACGTAAGTAATGACATACAACATAAGTAATGATATACAACATAAGTAATGACATACAACATAAGTAATGACATACAACATAAGTAATGATATACAACATAAGTAATGACATACAACATAAGTAATTACATACAACATAAGTAATGACATACAACATAAGTAATGACATACAATATAATTAACGCAGTGTAATCTTAATAAGAGAAATGAATGTTTTTTTAAAAATCAGTTTTAATTCTTTTTCTCGAGTACCTATTTTTGTGTTCTCCAGTCACCATACGAAATGTCATCTGGATTGTTTCTAGAGTTATTGCCCTTTGATTTAAGAAATTCAGAAATCTTTCATATATTTGTTATCCTGTAATTCTAATTTGGTGACCCTTTATTTTCTAGGTGACGAACCTGTACGACTTTTTCCAGGATGATTCTGTGTTCATAGCTTACGGTCCGGAGAGATTTTCCGCTGATGACTTTGATCTGGACGACAATGGTAAACATATCCATTTTCTTCTGTTTTTACCAATAGAACAAAAACTTCACCTTGCACAGGAAGTACAATTTTGTTATTTAGAACTTATATCACAGAGTCGTGTGAACCAGAAATGCCTACATAAAATTACTGATTTAATCGCATTCTATGCATTAACCATATTTATTTGTTAATTAATCAAATCGACCCATTTTTTGCAATTCAATTGGAAAGTATAAAGACAACCTGCTATAAACCTCTAACCAGCTGTGATATTATCTTTTTATCTGGTGGAAGCACTTTGTTAAATATGTACTTTGTTTTAAGATAAAGGTTATATTTCTGATCGTTGTTATCACGTTCAACAATTTAGATTTTTTTGACGAAAATGAACTTCATGACCCTAGGATATGAGAACCTCTAGCTCCCAACTGAATGACATTTATGTAAATGTGTTGATATAATGTTAAAGTGATCCAGCCATTTAAATCCAGAGGGTCACATGGAATCTAAATTGAATTTTATCGTTCAATTATAGACCAATCACATAATGTTAAATATCCTACAGCTGTAGGTGATTGATCTATCAATGGTATGATCATAAGTGTTGTTAAACAGTTTTCTGGTTCACAATCACTGAATATATAACATATCGTTTTATCAATGTATTTATAGTTTGTTGTAGTAACTCACACTGCTTATATATCAGTAGATATCAGCTCACATTTTACAAATATTCAGAAACATCCAACTTTCTCATTTTTTAAAAATCAGGACACGATGAATATTCCGTTTACCAACAACGAGCTTGTCAACCCCGTCCTTCCCAGTAAGATAAGACACTCGGAGACATGCTGAACGTTTTGTAGTGTGCACACTGTACATTACCACTCCAATGTCTTACATATAATAATTTTCATATTTGTCATTCTTTTTTTTTGATTTCCACAATTTTACCAAGTTTAATATAATTAATTAATATTTCTTGATTTGTATTTATGTATATATATGTGTGTAACAATCATTACAGGGAAGAATATGCTCCAAAAAAAAGAAGGTATCAGAATTTGTTTGATTCTAACTGCCTAACTCTCTAACACAGATTATAACATTGATATATTAGTTAAAAAGGGGATCATTTACCTAAATATCTTCGTCAACTCTGAATGGTAGTACTACAAAATACCAAACTTTAAAAATATATATATTTAGAAAAATTATCAAAAGATTGAACAAAAAATTATCAGAGAATATAGACAGTATTGACGTTTTTATAGAGACTGATATTTTATATCGAGTCAATTTTCTCGACATTGGTAAATAAGAGTTCATCATCCAAATATGGTAAACTAACTCAATCTGACAAAATACTTTGATGTGAAATCAATTCAGTGTTGCTTTTGAGTTGTGTTCAAAATCACAGAATATGAAACTTTACTCTTGATAAAATAAATAAAGATGTTAAATATGCCAGGATTTAATTTTAGGAAATGGCAATTAAATGTCTGCTGTGGTGAACTCATATATAACAAAAGGGTATTATTTGTTTGAAATACATTAACTTGGAATTGCAACCCATGTTGTTGTTTATGACTAATATGTACGTACTAACAGCTAGTGAGAACATTAATTACTTGTAATGAAATTAAATACTAATCTTTTAATTAGATTTTGATAAGATATTTGCCAAACATATAACTATAGGTTTGAGCCGTTTTCTAAACTGTTACATTTTCTGAAGCATAATCTGTTATTTGAACAGAATTTATTCATACACTGAAGGAGACGTTTAAAGAAATCGATCGCCATGAAAAGATGTAAAAGAAATTGATGTTTTATCATAGCATGAATTGATAAGGCTGTAAACTGTGCTGTTAATTGTGACAAGATGTTTCAATGTATTATGCAGCACTTAAAGATAACTTTTTTTTTCATTTCCACAGATTCTTTTTAGTTTTTTTTTGTGATCTTCAGTAACGGCCAGTCGCCCCTAATATTAACAATTGATTGGTGTGATGTGTTTGTGTGATTGATAGTCAATTATTGTGGTCAAAATGATGACCAGTCAGTATGGTTACAGACCTACAGTGGACACTCCCCGTTAATCAGATGATTGAAGGTGACGTAGGAACTGTTTACAGCCTCAGTGTAAAGGCTGCTGATTTGGAGGCTAAGCATCACGTGACCAAAACAAGATACAAGATTTATTTCGATCTGAAAATTAAAAAGTCAATAAACATTCTGGTGTGATGTGTTTGTGTGAAAATTGTAATAGTACATCTTTGATTTGTTTCACTCCCCTTAGAGGAGTGAAGGCTGCTGAGTGTTTACAACTTAATAATCTTACCCTGGGGGTTGAGATGCCCCATCTCACAGGCTTTCTAATGTATGTGTCTTTGTTATCCCAATACTTTTGAACCTTTGGATTATCACTGATCTAGGGAACACACCACAAATCTAGAGAACACACCTCTAATTTAGGGAACACATCACTGAACCAAGGAACACACCATAGATCTAGGAAATACACCACAGATCTAGAGAACACACCTTTAATTTAGGGAACACATCACTGAAGTAAGGAACACACCACAGATCTAGGGAACACACGACATATCTAGAGATCACACCTGTAATTTAGGGAACACATCACTGAACTAAGGAACACACCACAGATATAGGGAATACACCACAGATCTGGAGAACACACCTTTAATTTAGGAAACATATCAATAAACTAAGGAACACATCACAGATCTAGGGAACACACCACAATCTAGGGAACACCACAATCTAGGGAACACACCACAGATCTAGAGAACACACCATTATTTTAGGGAACACATCACTGAACTAAGGAACACACAACAGATCTAGAGAACACACCTTTAATTTAGGGAACACATCACTGAAATAAGGAACACACGACAGATCTAGGGAACACATCACTGAACTAAGGAACACATCGCTAATCTAAGGAATACACCACAGATCTAGGGAACTCACCACAGTTCTAGAGAACACACCATTAATTTATTGAACACATCACTGAAGTAAGGAACACATTTTAAATTTAGGGAACACACCTCAGATCTAGGGAACTCCACATATTTAGGGAACATATCTTTAATTTAGGGAACACATTACTGATCTCAGGAACACACCACAGATCTGGACACCATTGATCAAGGGAACACACCTCTGATATAGGGTACACATCATTCCTGTACGGTACACACCACCGATCTAGGGTACACCATTAATCAAGGAAACACACCTCTGATCTAAGGAACACATCTTTCATCTAAAGTACACACCTCTGATCTAAGGTACACACTTTTGATCTAAGGAACACATCTCTTATCTAGGGAACATAATTTTCATCTAGAGTACACGCCTCGGATCTAAGGTAGACATTTTTGATCTAGGGAACACTCCTCAGATATGGGAAACACTACTGATCTCTGTATGTGAGCCTGAGGTTGTATCAATGCTGTTATGGTCCCAAGCACTGTTAAGTTTTGATTGGTGTTATTGAGAACAAATTAGGAAATAAAATGGATGTCATCAAAATGCTAACGAGGAAGCAATTTCCTGTAAATGTAAATCAAGATCTTTCGCATGTTTGTAGGAAGTATGTAACATAACAGATATAAATCTCCACAGACCTGTACACATTGATTGATATAAGTCAAAGTCAAAGTCTATGAAAATAGAACTCCTAGTCCTACTGGTCAAACTTCAGGATTATAACAGTGCTAGTTTATAGAAATCAGGATCACCAAAATGTTTGTAAGGAAACGGAATTGGATAATGGAAAAACAAAACCATCTAAATGTTTGTAAGGAAACGGTATTGAATTACGAAAAAACAAGATCACCTGAATGTTTATCAAAAAATTTCATACTTTTGAGAGATCTTTATATTCACAAAAAATTGCTAGAAACCACAGTAGCACACAAATAAATTTCAGTAAAAACTATATCTCATAAAACAGGGCTGATAATGAAATATAAAACATGAAATGACGTAGATATTGCAATACTTTCATCCAATATATCTAGACTTAAAAGTTGACAGAGAGATATTGCGTTTTTATCAATCACTTTGCTATCAGTTCCAACATTAATATCCTGTCCGTGATGGCTTCAAAGAAAATTTCCGAGTCGTTCCAATGTTTGTTTTGTGACTCCTACATGTTGCCATGAGTCAGAGAATGTATTGGTAAGATAGCTCTGGTAAGCAGATATCACCAGCTGGTACAGTAATCTCCATGTGCCTACAAAACGGTGACAACAGCAAGTACAGTGATGTCCCTGACTCACATTGCTCTCATGGGGACCCCATGTCGTCCTGGAAACTCCTCGTCACCATCCTCATTACGTACCAGATCTACAGTCATGAAATCCTACTACAACAGGATGGTCCATAAACAGTGTGATAACACCAGGCTCGTGTATCTTTGTTCCAACTGCTGCATGTTGGTGTTGTTTTCATATATAAATTTATCACAGAACAAGGCTTTGTAAACAAAGTCATTCATTTAGCTAGTACACTGCCTGTGTACTCTGTAATCTTCTACAACAAACTATCATTACTTTGTCTTTAAATCCTTCTACAGCAGTAATTAAACATACAAGTTCAAGCATAAAAGTCATATATTGTCATCATAACGTCACCGTGTCGGCATGATCATGTAAATATTCCTGGTAGTTACCATGGCAACACTACATATTAGCAGATTACCATAACAACATAGGATTAAAGCAGAATTTACTACCATGTAGGAAGTAACTTCAAGGTTGTTTCTGGTTGAAGCCATCATCATCATCATCATCATCATCATCACCTATAAGTTTTTTGTTACTGCTAGAATCTTGAAGTTAAATTCCAAGTGATCTGAAAGACAGATGACTCTGTCATTATCACTTTAAGTTTTTGAGGTTTAGAAAAGTTGTTGCATGACTGTGTTAATTCCATGTTGAAAAAAGTTGAAATGTAGTTGTGTTGCTAACAGCAATGTTCGAATGTGTTGTCTTCACAATTTTTTCCTCGTTTCATACTTAAGTTCTAATTGGCCTACTAGGTGTTTTATTGTTGCAGATACTTGCAAATAAAGTAATTGCTTTTCAGGTCTGAAGGTCAAGGGTCAAGGCCACTGTCACAATTGATATAGAATACAAGTTTTTATATCATAGCCAGTGATCTTGATGGTTGTAATTTACACACTTCTTATCTATACATACCCTACCAGCCAGAAGAAAAAGTTGGGAAACCAGCTTCTGCTCAATTACTACTTATAAAAAAGTAAATTTCAATGTGTTAAATTGCGTTCCCTTGGAACAATGAAATACAGCCATTAATCTGCACAAAGTAAAAGCAAAACAGGAAAGGTTTACAATTGATATTATCTATCATTAATGTCAAAACAATTACTGGGGATGGTCACAATAAAATTAGACACCATGGACTACAAACAAGGTTGTGGAATCAGTCTGAGCCATGCAGCTCCGTCTCCAGATCAGCCTTCACACTATTACCACACTGTATATTTATCTCTCTAACAGCTTCTCATGCTGGTAATATTAAAGGTGTGTGAGATTGATTAGTTAAAGAGATATTCTGGATGTGGTACAAACAAAAGATATTGACATAGCATTGATCTTGACTTGTAACTGGTGTGGATTCCAAGGCAGGGACAATATTACAAAGCCACAATATTTACCCTTATAGTAAGGTTCCATACCTCCTAGCCTTTAGCTTTTCTCTGTTAGACGTCGAATAATTTCTTTTTTACAAACATTATTGATTATGTTTCCAGGCAAGATTACGATGACTGAGTGGGGTTGATACAGGTTATTGACTGAATCCTGGCTGCCATCAAACAGCAAATATTCTATATGGTGTTTTTTTTTATTTTCTGCATATTCTAAATGATAATGAAACAGCCTCATTGACAGCTACAATGCGGTTTTAGTTTTTTTTCTCATTCCTCTTGTATTTGAAATTCTGTGAATAGGATGAAATTTGTTTCGACATCAAAAATAATTTCCCCATATTCTGATTTCTCTTAACTGGTTTTAACAATTTCTTTAGCACAGGATGTTGGCGTGTTACGCATGTGAAAATGTGACTCTTCACTACTAATGGTTGAAGTGTCATCTCATTTCCTGTGAAATTTCTGAGCCACCAAATAAATCTTGTAAACCTGCCCATACTCAAACCCTCAGGGGCCTAAAATATTGATAAAAGTGATGTTAATTAGGTCTTTAAAGAAAGGTTGATATCAATTTTCATCAAATGAAATGTAATTGCTAACCTCATTTTCTGCTAAGTTTGACATTAATATTTCCAGGGTGTGACAAGTGTACATTTGAAAAATGGTTTTGCAAATTGTACTAAATTATACTAAAACTGATGTGGTGATATGAAATCCGATATGAATTCAATGAAATAAGGATATGTGAAATCTTCATGATTTTGCGAGTTCAGATATAGACAGGTCTGACTTGTGAAATTTTACATTAACAAGTCTGAGATAAAATATGATTCCATCCTCTGAAAATTACTTACATTGAAGTCTATTTAGGAAATTTGAAACGTGTGATCTAGCTTTGTAGGATGTTTACAGTGTGTAATACTGATACATGGGACACTAATATTTGAGTTGTGGACTCACACTTTTCCAAATGAACTCATTAAAATTTTGAGAATTCACTTTTATCATGGACTCCTCAATTCGGACAGAGTTGCTCAAGTACATCTACGTCTAAGTGTATATGGTATTGCCTTCAGAGATTCTGACTGTGATGAACGTCGATCTATACTGATCGAATGTTTACCCCTGGGATGCTGAACTTGTGTTGATCTCTGACGACCTGAAGAGTTACACTGTAAAACCATTAATTTTTGTGGGCATTTATTTTCATTGATTTTGTAGGTAACCTTAATATATGAACTCATATGTACATGAAATGTTAAGATAAGTATAAATAGATTAACTGAGTTCTTTTTATTCATAAAATCAAGTGTCCATAAAATTGTTTTTTTTTTAATTATGAAAAAATTTTGTGAGGCTGAATTTTCGTAATTAAAAAAAGGATGAAAATTCTGCGTCACAAAAATATCAGATTTTACCGTATATATTTGGATTTGATTTTGTGGAATTTGTATGCAGCTTCATAATGAAAAAAAATACAAAATGATGTTATGTTTCTAATATCCGTTTTTTCACTGATTCTCTTCCAAAATATTTGGTATTGTTATCAGTAATGTTTTTCTAACTTGTGAATTTTCAATCACTATGTCTACCCCACAACAAGCCAATAACTTGTAGTAAGCCCATTCTTACCATCAAACTCTATTTCATTGCCCTGTAGTAAGCTCCCCCACCTCCCCTTCTGACTTTTGTCAGAAGTAATATGACGGAACTCCAGGTTAATTATAGATTTTACGGTATTGAGAAGCTCGTGTAATATTTATATTTTCATTGTACAGTACGTAAGTAAGGGGTAAATTGTTAATATCTGTATGTTATGTAACACATGGGTCTGCTCTGTTTTCAGACTGAAGGTGTCCATCATTTCCAATGCATAATATCTTCTATTTTTTATTAAATCCAACTAGAATTGAATCAATATATATGACAAGAAACATAATTTTAAAAAAGAAACTTCTTTATATATCTTATCTCAAGATTGTCTTAATGTTTTTTTTAATCTGTCACTGCTTCGAATGCCTAATCTCTGGTAGATTTGTCCTACTGTTTCCTTAAACTTGGACCAATCACAGAGTAACAACTAATACATATTTCTGTAGAGGTTCTGGAAGGTATTTTTAAATGCTCACTTGACATAAACTATTCCACCATTTTGTAAAAATATTGATTTGTAAGGTTATTCACCCCCAAAAGAAATCACTGGACAGGATGTTCTGTTTTGTGATCACAGTTAAAGGTTATCTTTTCTCAAAAATACATTTGACATCAGATTGATAGATTCAGGTCTGCAGAGGAGTGTTCGACATGTTTGTAGAATTTTCTCAATTCAATGTTGCTATAGTTAGAACGTGTTTGTGTTACAGAAGTGAAGTTGGTCTCCCCGTATAAAGCATCACCCTTCAAGGAGAAAAGAATCACACTACGGTCGGCAAAGTCACCCAGATCGTCACGCAAGCTGTCACTATCAAATAGAAGCTTAAATGAAGGTAGCTACCTCTAATGCATTTCTCTTAACACTGATTGTGTTCCCGTCATTTGCTATGTACATTGTACTTCAGTTTTAGACATTTCCATAAAATCATATTTTACCCAGAATTCATGTGTGTGATTGTAAATCACTTATAATTCGCCAGGAATTATGTTTGCGTTAATATGTGAAGAGAGTGAAATGTGAAATCCTTTGCGATTATTTGTACGAAATTAATTCTGGACAGTATTCAGGCGGATTTGGTTACCAATATCAGAGTCTTGAAGAATCCATGTCTGCAATAGTTGATCATTTGTGAATTTTAAGTCATTTCTAGATCAGCCTTATTGAAGTCATGTATTTGCGAATATGTCTGAAAAGGTAAGATCGTGAAATAAAATATTCAGCGATTTACAGTACTTTTGAGACTGTATCGGCAGGAAATGAGAATATGTAACTGTTTTTAGAATTTATTCCTGCCATTTATGTGACAAGACATTGAATCAAACGTCTGTAATGTAGAAAATTCTTTTAAGTTATTGCAGATTTTGCAAAAATCGATGAGCCCCAATTCACACTTTCAGAGGGAAAATTAAAGTGCCTTTTCAGATTAGAATTCATGATACACATAGTATCACATAGTATCATCTTTGGTTTTGGTGGTATTGGAGATGATTAGTTTCTGGTTATCGAGGCATCGAGTTTCTGATTAAAGATCTTGGGTGTTTCGTTTATATATCTTATTGAAAAAAGATTTAGAACTAGAACACAGAAAAAATAATTTTCAAAATTATGATATTTATCAAAATAATGTTCACAAATGATGAAATGATTGTACGGTGAATATTTCTTTATCATGCTGTTTATCTTTGACTATGAAGCGCGGAAATAAGTGAATTTAGAAATGGATTTTATCATCCTTACATCAGAAACATTTTCCCTGCGAAATCAATTAATTCGTCATGTATCGCTATTCCATAAAATCTCAAGATATTGGCAACAGAATTGTTTAAAAATTTAATAATTAAAAAGGAGTTCCATGCTTACCATATGTCATCAGAACTTCTCAGTTTAAACTTAATAGAATTTTAATTATTCATCCTGTTGGTTGGGTTGTAGTTGTGCTTCTTTGCCTGTCAAGCTCACTGAAAAACTTCAGTTATGTAATAATGCTGTTTTGTGCATACTAATCAATGGGGGTTCAGATCGTGGATAAACACTTTGACGGTAGCTCTTATAATTCTCGAGAGAAGGTCAGGCTCATCAACAGAGTGCATTGGTGCATCAAAGTATAATCCAGAAGGATTCCAAATTGAGACTTTTCTAAACCAAGAGGGGTTCCAAATGGGGAACTTTCAAATTATAACCAAGAGGGGTTCCACATGGGGAGTCTGTGAAGTTCAACCATTTCTTTCATGACGGCTTACCATGCCATGTGGGAGCCTATTAGAAAAAGGCGAAAACAAAAGAAATTCAAAACTCCTGCCCTCACTTTTAAAGCATGATTGAACTTAATAAATGAAAACATTTTTTTTTCATAATACTTTGGAAACAATTGCATTATTCATTTAAATAATATTTAGGATTTCATATCAGCTGATCTTGATCAGAACTTCAACATGGCACTGAAAATTCCTTCTTGTTTTTTAAATAGATTACCATGAGTCCAGGTCAGCTCGGAGCTCTCCTCTGTCGTCCCCGCTCTCCTCTCCACGTATGTCACGCAAATCTAGTGGTCGTGTTGTCTCTGCTGTAAGTATACATGTGTACAGTACATCATTTCAGTGTCAGTAGGATCTTATGTTTAAGGTCATAAGTCAAAGTTGAAGGTCAGAGGCTGGTAAGCCCATAATGAAATTTCTAGATTAGTGTAAAAGTTGTGTTTTGCTGGACTGATTTTTTTGCATTTTACGTAAATTTGAAAATTTGGTGTGATAAAGTTTTTTTTTCTATTGATATATGCCAAACTACATGTTTCCAAGTTGTCTGGGGAATTCCTACCTCCACATGTCAGGAAAAATCCTATTTATAATGTTGTATTTGCAGTTTATAATTAGATTGGTAAATCTTCAATGTCAGTGCCTTATTTGGACAGCTAACAGGAATCTTTACTTACATATGTAGCAGGAGCTGAAAATCTGTTGATATGATAAACATACTGTCTTGAGACTACATTTACACTGGTACTATATTTCTAAGCAAAAATCATAAAAATTAGAACCAATTAGAAATACAGAAGGTCAGTATTAAAGATTGGTAATACTGAAGGTCATAGATCAGCAGCAAAGGTCAAATGCCTATCCTCAAGGTCAACGAATAATCAAAAAGGTCAATTTTGAAAGTTTAAGATACCAATGCTGAACTGATATAGTATTGCTTCTGGTTACTGGTCAGTGTTAAAGTTGTAGTTGATGAAGATTAGCACAATGAGTTGAATGTTGTGAGTTATCGTCATTACCCGAGGTCATAGGTCAATGTTGTAAATTATGATCTGTCTCTGAAAGTTATTGTGAAAGGTCCAGGCTAGAAATCTTTGTCTATTTCCTACAAGTTAAAAATAATGGTTTACATCTGTAGGTTATACTGCAGGTCAATACTGTACGTCGTGGTCTGTTTCTAAAGGTCAAAGGTCAATATGGAAGTGAGAGTTATAGATAGATAGAAAGATGAATATAGATATGAACTATCAAGCATTTGTATGTCTTTGTTGTTGAATATGAAAACATGTTTATCAGGTATAAAAATATTAAATCTTCAAGTCTGATTCAACTAGCTGAATAACAAAGGATCGATGGAAAGTTTGAGAAAATCAGACAATTAAAATTCTCTTTCCTCCAACAGCATTGTTCATTGCTTTACTTATTGATGTAAAGAATTGTATGTCAGGCCATAGAGCTGACAGTCAAGCAGGTATACATTTAACTTTATATTTTCTCTTTCCTCCAACAGCATTGTTCATTGCTTTACTTATTGATGTAAAGAATTGTATGTCAGGCCATAGAGCTGACAGTCAAGCAGGTATACATTTAACTTTATATTTTCTCTTTTAGCCAAAGTACAGACTTCAGGAAGGACTAGATGGGGGTAAGTGTACAGAACATCAGTCTAGTGGAGATACTGGAGAAATAATGGGGTAGATTGTAAGGTATAGTCGTGAGAAATAAAAATCAAAGTGTATAGAGACAGTATAGATGGTAGGGAAGATTTGAATATTAAGATAGGTGCAGCCAGTATGACCTTAGGACTATGTATATGAGAGGATGAGAAGGGCGAACAGGGAGACAATTTGGGAGGGAGAAGAGGGGAGGGATTGAAATATGGGTGAAAGTTTTCAGTAGAGGGTGACAGGGGATGTGAGTGGATAGAGAAAGGAGGAATGTAAGAGGATACTGTTAATGCTTTCTTTTAAGGAAGTCTATTTTTTAAAAATATTTTTGTATATCAAATTTAGACACAAAAAACTGATTCAATATTTCTGTAAATGAAATATACTCACAAATGTAGAGATACACATACTCATGGGCAGTTTCTGTGAATAAAACATCTTTTCTGCATCAAACTGTTAGTGATAGTGCAAATACTTGAAACATGAAAAAATTACAAAAGTTACAGATATAAGTAGGAAAATGTTGTGAAACCTGTCGTGGAAAAACATGGACTGTAGACACAAAAAGGATGAGATAAATGCAGAGTACAGCTTATCATCTATTTGTTGAAGATTTCTTTTTGTAAACATTTTAGATGTATAAATATCAGGCTTCCTTTTATCAACATGAATTATAGATTAGAAAGTGATATGACTTGGTAGCCATTACAGAGGGTAGACAGTCTAGAGATCTCCAATCAAGATGGTTGCACTACAATCCGATTCAAATGAGTGTTTTAATGGCACTATTAAATACTGGTTACAAGGTTAAGGCTTGTTAATGGACAATGGATAAGATAAAACACTGATTAAGTCATACCAACAGAACACAGTAGAAACCTTGTAGGGTGACCTACAGTGAAAACCTTGTAGGGTGACCTACAGTGAAAACCTTGTAGGGTGACCTTCAGTGAATACCTTGTAGGGTGGCCTACAGTGAAAACCTTGTAGGGTGGCCTACAGTGAAACCTTGTAGGGTGACCTTCAGTGAATACCTTGTAGGGTGGCCTACAGTGAAAACCTTGTTGGGTGACCTACAGCGAAACCTTGTAGGGTGGCCTACAGTGAAAACCTTGTAGGGTGACCCACAGTGAAAACCTTGTAGGGTGGCCTACAGTGAAAACCTTATAGGGTGGCCTACAGTGTTTTTTGTTATAATCATGTAAAATGTAACTTGCCATACGAGACCGTGGGATGTTTGATCTTATTTGGTGTAGAATATTGTTGGAACAGGATTCCTATTGTATTTAGTAAACAGTTTCAATGTGATAACCCTTATGGTGATGTTTGCAACAAAATTTGTACACAATTAAGGAAACTCAGTGCTCTGTAGTTTTAAATGAATTTTTCCAGAGATTAATGATGACCATAAATTAAATTTATAACAATCAAATTGATTTTCACTTTTAAAACTGAGAGGAAATGTTGATAAACATTCCATGTGCTAACCTGAAAATAATCACTAATGTCCTTTGATTAATCCCAGAAAAATTTGGCATCTATTTATGAATGTTATAATTCTTTTTAAACAAATCTCTTTTGAAAACAAATTTGATTCATGCCTCAATACTAGTATCTACAACAAATTTGTCTACAAATACAGCTAGTGTTTTTTTAACAGGAAAATAATTTTCCTTTTGTACGACTTAAGTGTGAAGTCACATAGAAATACATAAAATGAGTCACTTTAAGAGACGGATCAATATCGTCTGTACAGATAACTCTCATACAAAGATAATTCTATTTGCAGACTTTGGTGTGTATTACAGATATTTAAATCACACACTGATAATGGATACTTAACCATAACCCAATTTCAAATCATGTTTTTAAAATCTCTTCATTTTCCTCGGTAATTTCAAAGATATTTTCATTACATTTAAACCACACTTTTCTTTCAATTCAATTTCTCCTTTTTGATATCATACTGCAGCCACAAATAGAATTTGATGACAGTTCATCCTGACTAATAGAGAGCAAATGTGTTCCCATCAATCAATTTGAGCAATTATGACTTCCAAGGTCTCGGAAGATTTCCGAAAGGATTGGATATTTTAATGGGCTCTTGTACCTAATGAGATTTATATGATGTCTCTATGGGTTCTGAATGTAAATGTTGTGTAATGCCCTCCAAGGAATCTTCAGAAGAAAGGCTCACATTCTTCTAAGTTTTTAGCATGGCAATAATTTTCTTTTCTGATCGCAATGAAACTGTTTTTTTTTTCAATATTATCTGGTGTAATTTGAAAATCTGTATAAACCATTCTGTTAATTTGAACGTGTTTGTGTACGCTTACTTAGGGGAATTTGATGTCATGAGGGTATTATTATTTGAAAAATTTCTTTGTTGAATTATGTCAACACTAAAAATTAAAAAAATATTCACATTTTGAAATAGGTGTGCAATGATATATTTATTGTTACTATCTTAATGACCCAACTACACATAAAAGGTCATTTGGGTTATCAAGCAGTGAAACATAGAGCAGTCCAGGTGTGCAATAAATTACTGTCTGTTTTTTAAAGAAATGATGGAGCCTGATGGTGTAATGTCACCATATCTACAAACCTGGTGAATTCTGTTTAATAATAATATACATGTATTGTTGATTTTGGTTTTTTTTCAGTCAGTATTTTTCCAGTATGAAATTAAGTAAAAACATGAATGTTTTTTACAGAGAGCTATGCTGGTCCTCCAAGTCTTGGCAAGAAATATGAAATTGGTCGAGTCATTGGGGAAGGCAACTTTGCTGTTGTAATGGAGTGCATAGACAGGTAGGTTTATATTGTAGTTGTGGTATTTTTAACTAGTCGGTTCTTATAACTATATCTAAAGAAATTTTCTAATATATAATTATATTGTTTAGGTTTTTATATACATTTTGTAGCAACTTTTGATGACTTTCTCCTAAAGTGACCTTTGATGACTTTCTCCTAAGTGACCTTTGATGACTTTCTCCTAAGTGACCTTGGATGACTTTCTCCTAAGTGACTTTTGATGACCTTGTTTCTCTGTGATCTTTGATGACCATTTTACTCAGTGACCTTTGATGACCTGCTAAATGATATTTTATGGTAATTCCAGGACAACCAATAAGAGGTATGCCCTAAAGAAGATTGACAAGACCAAGTGTAAAGGAAAGGTATTAAAACTAATTGGCTTTATTTATTCTTTATAGCATTTGAACAATGTGCTCATCTTACATAAGGTCAAGAAGATGATATACAATATTTACAGGTCCAGTAGTGATGTTGTCATGGTTATTATTAGGTATTATGGGAGGGAAAGGACAATGTAAACATTAATGCCAGACATTGGTCACCACATCAAAAAAATGAACCAATCATTCCTTGCTCACTACACAAAATCCACTTTCAGAAAAGAAAAATGCAATTCCTATTAAATCTTTAAATCTATGTCAATAAGATATAAATAGATTATTTATTGTGGAACATTTTCTACAAGTTAGTATTGTCAATTAAATAAAAGTTCTTATAATACAACCAGTAGAGTTAGTCGATTCCTTTATATCTCATACACTATGTACGTGATGAAGGTGACCATGTAGTCCTGGAAACATCACACTCTAATCTTCTACTGGTTGTGTTATATGATGAAGGTGACTGTGTAGTCATGGAAACGTCACACTCTAATCTTCTACTGGTTGTGTTATAAGGTGAAGGTGACTGTGTAGTCATGGAAACGTCACACTCTAATCTTCTACTGGTTGTGTTATAAGGTGAAGGTGACCGTGTAGTCATCGTCACACTCTAATCTTCTACTGGTTGTGTTATAAGGTGAAGGTGACCGTGTAGTCATCGTCACACTCTAATCTTCTACTGGTTGTGTTATAAAAACTTAAATTCTATAGAAGTTCTTTATTGCATGGCATTTTTCAAGAATCTTTATTTTGTCAAAACATAAACAATTTACCAATATTATATAATTTTACCAAAGACGTTCGCCAGGTAACCTGTCTGTTTCTATTTTTAGAAACAGTCTCTTGTAATGTCAAACTTAACCTATTTTGTAATCATGTTCCGTTACAGGAACAAATGATTGAGAATGAGGTATCCATTCTGAGGAAGGTCCAACATCCAAACATTATCATGCTGCTCGAGGAATTTGATGCCAAGGATGAGCTGTATCTAGTCATGGAGTATGTTAAGGTACCTTTCAGGAATTGTCTACACTACTCAAATAGGATTCAAATAGGTTTTACTTCACACTGTAATAGTCATTTGTGTTAGAGTCAAAGGAAACATGCCACTTTTCTAGCTAGATATTTCCTTCACAGTGAGTTTGTGTGAGAGTTAAGACGGTATGCTGCCTGTAAATGTAGCCTGTAATCTAGTCAGGAATAAGCCCCATTGCCTAAATGAATCTGCAGAATGTGTATGAGTTAAGGGTATATGCTACCTATATTTGTAGTTTGTATTCAAGTTAGGAATAAGGGCCACTGTCTAAATGAATCTGTAGAATGTGTATGAGTTAAGGGTGTATGCTACCTGTAAATTAAAAGTGTGGCAAGTAGATATCTTCTTTCAAAATCCTTCCCCCTCTCAAATCTTTTTCTAATATTTTAGATCTTTGACCATTAACCTGGTTTCATTTCAGCACTCATCTGCTGTTTGTAAGAGAAATGACTATAGAAATGTGTTGAATACATTTTCCTTTTAGGGAGGTGATTTGTTTGATTCAATAGCCATGGCAACCAAGTACACAGAACAAGATGCCAGCGGCATGTTTTATAATCTGTGTAGTGCACTAAAATACCTACACAATCTCAACATCGTCCACCGTGACGTGAAGCCCGAGAATCTACTGGTAAGGGATGCCAAGTTGTTTTAAGGCAGGAATGGATTTTCTATGTATTTTTCATAATTGATAATTATAAGAAACACAAGTGAGTCTTATTTCTGAAAAATCATATTTCCTTTAAAAGCTGTGCTTCATCAAATATCAAATGAAGAATATAATATGAAGCATAAGAGAATATTAAAGCATCTTTTGAGAGTTTTCCAGTTTGATATAAACATGTTTTTTGCCTGTACATTTACAAGTTTCATTGTACGTACATATTTTAAGTAACAATAGTCAATACCATTTTTTTATTGTAGAAAAGTTATTTCTATACTTTGTCTTTTCAGGTATTTCAACATACAGATGGAACAAAGTCCATCAAACTAGGTGACTTTGGTCTCGCAACATATGCCACTGAGGTCTTGTACACAGTGTGTGGCACACCTACATATGTGGCACCCGAGATCCTTGCAGAAATAGGGTAAGATCACTATAGTCGCATTCAGAAAACTCCTATCTGGTATTGCTTTAGTTTACCTAGCTAGAAAAGGTGCCCTCTGCACTTTTGGAAAAAAGATTGTGTAATTTTGTGTTTGTCTTTAAGAAAAAAACTTTTACATACACTGGTGCTTGAATTGACCTGTAATCATTAAAAGATCTTGTGCTTAACAAACGTTTGTGTTGTAGGGCAAGTACTAGCCACGCTAAATTCAGGTTTGAAAACAAAACCCCAGTAATTTGGAGATTTGGAGGTTCAAAAATATGTCATTTCAACTTCATTTTGACAAATAGCTTTTTTTATCTTCTAAATTTCACTGCTTGTTTTTTTAAACAGATATGGGTTCAAGGTGGATGTGTGGGCAGCAGGTGTGATTCTGTATATATTGCTTAGTGGGTTCCCTCCCTTTGTAAGGTATGTTAAACAATCTACTATGCAGAAAAAAAGGCCACACTGAGTATACGTTATGCACTTAATCTAAGATATTTACAAACATAACATACATACCAAGATGCTTCTTAAATTGTTATTCATGTCATGATAATGTAAACATAAGCATTGTTTAATACTTCCAATCTTTGCAGTAGAGAGTACAGATCTTAAAGTTGTTTAAAATACATTTAATGGTGGATTAAAAATCAATAAACAAACATTTCTGAAATGAAAATCTTGGCATTTTCCCACCAGAATTTCCAAACATGGGTGAAATTGCAAAGACATATTGTCAAGATCATTAAAGATATTAAAAAAGAATCGAAATACCTGTATTTTATACCTGCATACAATTGATGGATTATCTCCCTTGATCAAGGTTTATACTTATCTCAGCCTGAGAGACAGCCAATGGTATTTAGTGCACCCAGTCACAACAGACACAAGATAAAGAAGCCCAACATGTAGAAGAAACTAATTAACGCCACTATTTTAAAATCTTATATTAAATCATTCCGTTCAATAGCATCCTATTTTATCTTTATCTTTTAACAGCACAAGTAATGACCAAGAAGAATTGTTTGACCAGATACTGGACGGTAAATTTGAGTTCACCCCTCCCTTCTGGGATGAAGTTTCTGACTCAGCTAAGGTAAACCTGCACTTACAAGAAGTGTCCCATTACCGTGGTAAAAAGAAATTATGAAAAAGTTGGCCATGATTTAGGGAAATGAAAGTTATAATGAATTTTAAAACCTGAAAGAGAATTACATGTACACATCTATAACATTATTTAACTTATAAATACATTGTACATAACTGTATATAGATAATTTCCTACCTACATTCCTTACCTGTATATTATAACAGTTCCTTGACTTACCTTTAACTTACAAATACTTATCTGTATATAGATAATTTCATACCTACATTCCTTACCTGTATATTATAACAGTTCCTTGACTTACCTTTAACTTACAAATACTTATCTGTATATAGATAATTTCACACTATATTCCTTACCTGTATATTATAACAGTTCCTTGACTTACCTTTAACTTACAAATACTTATCTGTATATAGATAATTTCACACTTATATTCCTTACCTGTATATTATAACAGTTCCTTGACTTACCTTTAACTTACAAATACTTATCGGTATATAGATAATTTCATACCTATATTCCTTACCTGTATATTATAACAGTTCCTTGACTTACCTTTAACTTACAAATACATATCTGTATATAGATAATTTCACACTTATATTCCTTACCTGTATATTATAACAGTTCCTTGACTTACCTTTAACTTACAAATACATATCGGTATATAGATAATTTCATACCTACATTCCTTACCTGTATATTATAACAGTTCCTTGACTTACTTTTATATACAATCTGTAAACATTTTCCCTATCAGGATCTGATCAGTAAGATGCTGGATGTCGATCCCGAGTGTCGTCTCTCTGCTGCAGATGTACTAGTCCACCCATGGGTTGCTGTAAGTACAATAAGTATCTAAGTATTGGTAGTAAACATGATTGAGGATAGAATTCATCACAGTTTAGATCCCCAAAGAAAGTCTTGCTTGATAATGTAATGATGAATCTCATTCATGCGAAATATTGAAGTAAAAATTGGCTTTAAAAGGGATGTCATTTAACTGTAGCATAATATCACAACATGCAATATTAAATGAGCTGGGTCAACAAGAGATGAAATGTACAGCTATGTTGAAATGTTTTTTTTATGACTTTGTAAATTTTAAAAGAATATACGTTGATATCAACCTTCTGACCTACAAGTCAAACCTTAGCCTCTAGACCTCAAGGTCACACCCAAGCCTTCCGACCTACAAGTCAAACCTTAGCCTATAGACCTCAAGGTCACACTCAAGCCCTCCGACCTACATGTCAAACCTTAGCCTCTAGACCTCAAGGTCACACCCAAGCCTTCCGACCTACAAGTCAAACCTTAGCCTATAGACTTCAAGGTCACACTCAAGCCCTCCAACCTACAAGTCAAACCTTAGCCTCTAGACCTCAAGGTCACGCCCAAGCCTTCCGACCTACAAGTCAAACCTTAGCCTATAGACCTCAAGGTCACACTCAAGCCCTCCGAGCTACGAGTCAAACCTTAGCCTCTAGACCTCAAGGTCACACCCAAGCCTTCCGACCTACAAGTCAAACCTTAGCCTATAGACCTAAAGGTCACACCCAAGTCTTCTGACCTACAAGTCAAACCTTAGCCTCTAGACCTAAAGGTCACACCCAAGCCTTCCGACCTACAAGTCAAACATTAGCCTCTAGACCTCAAGGTCACACCCAAGCCTTCCGACCTACAAGTCAAACATTAGCCTCTAGACCTCAAGGTCACACCCAAGTCCTCTGACCTACAAGTCAAACCTTAGCCTCTAGACCTCAAGGTCATAACCAAGCCTTCCGACCTACAAGTCAAACCTTAGCCAATAGACCTCAAGGTCACACTCAAGCCCTCCGAGCTACAAGTCAAACCTTAGCCCCTAGACCTCAAGGTCACACCCAAGCCTTCCGACCTACAAGTCAAACCTTAGCCTATAGACCTAAAGGTCACACCCAAGTCTTCTGACCTACAAGTCAAACCTTAGCCTCTAGACCTAAAGGTTACACCCAAGTCTTCTGACCTACAATTCAAACCTTAGCCGCTAGACCTCAAGGTCACACCCAAGTCCTCTGACCTACAAGTCAACCCTTAGCCTCTAGACCTAAAGGTTACTCCCAAGTCTTCTGACCTACAATTCAAACCTTAGCCTCTAGACCTCAAGGTCACACCCAAGCCTTCTGACCTACAAGTCAAACCTTAGCCTCTAGACCTTGATGTCAAACCCAGGCCTTCACCTGTCAATGTCAAACTCTAGTATTTTGACCACAAGATAGAATACTTACCTCAAGACCTACACACCAAACCGTATCTGTAAACTCAGTGGTGAAATTTGTCATTAGACCTCAAGGCCTTTCAGCTTTAGTTCCCTTGGTATTTTAACTTGTGATCTGTACAGTTCAGTAAATGTGTAAACTGGACGGAATCCTTCACTCAATACTTATACATATATAGATATGTTTTATTTCCTAATCTTCAGGATGACATGGCCAAGAACGAGGACATGCATGGTAATATTACCACCAGTATTAAGAAACACTTTAAGAGGAAGTCCAAGCCGTCCCTCAGTACTGCTGGTATCAGGATAGTCACTGTAAGTATAGATATGTATGACCTGATGGTGCGGTTTGTGTCCAATGTCTCACCTTTCAGCCAGAGGTCAAGGGTCAAACCCCTGTAATGTGATCCTGACCTAGAGGAATGAATCGCATGTTTATTTAGGTTATTGTTCCATTGTTGTTTTAATGATTTAGAAATATTGCTCAAACTTAATAAACTGACATTCCTTTTGATACAGATTTAATACTTCACTGAAAGGTTCCATGATTAATATTCAAACAGGCCTTGTATATCAATAATTCCTAGATTAAAGATTTCAAAGTAACCTCCATATTAAATATCCATGGTTACCTCAATCCACATCTTTCCTTTACAGAGCACAGCACTAGACAAGGCCTCAAGGTTTTTCCCAGGAAGGAAGGCAGCTCTGACATACCAGCAACAGGAGAATGGTGATGAGGTCTTCTGATTGGATTGCTGGAGTGTTCTACAGTATTATAATTCTATTGTCTTCATGGAAGTCTTCTCTACAAACATAACCTGTTACAGTATTTAAAAGCACCGTAACAAATGTTTCATCAAGCTCGGAGTTTGGAGAGCCAAACATATAATGTCATGGTTGCTGATAAAAGGCACATGTTTTAATTATCCATGATGAGAAATTACTCAAAAATGGCTATTAGCTAAAAACCAAATATGTTTTAATAGGTGTTGGTTTCTGTCAATTCTAGATATTCTTAATATATTTATTTTCAAGTTCAGAGCAATGTATAGTTTTGGTGATTTATAGTGTAAGGGGAGATAAAAAGATTGATGTTACGGTCAACCAATCCTGATCAAATCACCAACATAGGGCTTGAATTTCTTTTTTGTTGTATTACACTTACAAATAGTTTTTTTTTAAAATCCACAATTCCTGTTGAGACCCTGCATCAAAAATCAGCTTAACTCTCTAATGTTAAGAGGCATAATGTAGTAAAAAGAAAAAAAAAGATGAATGAAATTTAAACTACATAATAAATATAAGTTGTTCTGGGGAAGAAAACTCTGTTTCTTCAAATTAAAATCTGGAACTTGGCCTAAACCTAAGAAAATCTTAATTGGTATTCACAGGATAAAAACTTAATCATGTTTAAGAATATGTCATTTTATGGATCAGCCAAATGGATATTTCTTGCACATAAATTGAAGTATACTCTAAATAAAAGCATGGATTTTGGTTGTTGACAAAATTTTATTTCTCTTTCCAACAAGGAGATATGTTTAAGTACACTTGTTCTAAACCAAACATCATCATGTGGAATAGAATATGTTTTTGCATCCTGTGATCAGAAACTTAATAGACCGGGAACATTCAAAGGATTTTATTTCTTATTCACAGTATCAGATATAGTATCTGATAATCCTTATAATTATGTATGCTGTCATGAATGTAATGATTTCATTCTAGTTTCCAGAGAATTATAGATTCTATTTCTCATACAGCCAATAGCTATTTACTTGGCTGGGAAAGACTATTAACTGTACATACTCATCATGTAATATAAAGAAAATCATTAAAATTTGTGTAATCTATGCTATTTACATCTTGTACATAAAGGAACCTTTTAAGCATGATTATATTTACTACTTTGAGTAAAATTTTTTTCTTAACATTGTATATCTTATTTATTTTTGTTTTTCTACTTGCAAGGCCCAAATTTACCTGTTCTTAGAACCAAGCACCTAAAGATGAAATTTCTTTATTTCGGAAATTTTCTTACCTTGTTTTGCAATTAAGCATAAGAATTAAAAATCTTGATAACAAGGTTTTGTTGTATAGGCAGTAAAGACAAAGCCATGGCCAAGACCCTAGTATTTATAACAGTAACAATTACACAGATCCTATCTAATGAGGAATGTTCATAGAAGTTTAAAATTACAGCGGGTGTGATCAGTTTATGGAATCAGATTACAGGGGGTGTGATATGAATAGATTACAGGGGGTGTGATATGGACAGATTTCAGAGGGTGTGACAGGTAACAGGGGGTGTGATAAGGACAGATTACAGAGGGTGTGACAGGTAACAGGGGGTGTGATATGGACAGATTACAGAGGGTGTGACAGGTAACAGGGGGTGTGATATGGACAGATTACAGAGGGTGTGACAGGTAACAGGGGGTTTGATATGGACAGATTACAGAGGGCGTGATATGGACAGATTACAGAGGGTGTGATATGGACAGATTACAGAGGGTGTGACAGATAACGGGGTGTGATATGGACAGGCTACAGGGGTGTGATATGGAAAGATTACAGGGGGTGTGATATGGACAGATTACAGAGGGTGTGACAGATAACAGGGTGCGATATGGACAGATTACAGGGGGTGTGATATGGACAGGTTACAGGGGTGTGATATGGAAAGATTACAGGGGGTGTGATATGGACAGATTACAGAGGGTGTGACAGATAACAGGGTGCGATATGGACAGATTACAGGGGGTGTGATATGGACAGATTACAGAGGGTGTGATATGGATAGATTACAGGGGGTGTGATATGGATAGATAACAGGGGGTGTGATATGGACAGTTTACAGAGGGTGTGATATGGATAGATTACAGGGGGTGTGATATGGACAGATTACAGATGGTGTGATATGGATAGATAACAGGGGGTGTGATATGGATAGATAACAGGGGGTGTGATATGGACAGATTACAGGGGGTGTGATATGGACAGATTACAGGGGGTGTGATATGGACAGATTACAGAGGGTGTGATATGGACAGGTTAGTTGTATATATTTTATATGCTGGTGCTACCATTATTTGTTGCTTTTAAATTTGTTTTTCTCACCAAAAAGAATGTTTTTCTTAAAATTATTTCACGAGATGCGTTTCTCAGTCATTTGTTCCAAGATGTTTATGTAAATATCCACTTTCATTGAATTCATCATTGAATATTTAACTGGATTCCATGAATCAGAACTTCATTTGACCAAATCAAGTAATATAGTACATATGAGAGGTCATAAAATGTATCCTCAATGATGCTCATTGTTGAAAATTGTTATAGGTTAATAATAAAAGAATTCAACTTCTAAATTTTAAAAATAGGATTGAAACTTGGGAATATGGATTGTGCAACATTCTAGAAATATTTAAGGATTTAAGGGTATATGTTTCCATAATGACATGGAGCTTCTTTACAAAGAGTTTCACTTGAATTCTGTAAAACAATTTGAATCAACAAAAACAAAAAAAAAACAATGCCTTGAAAAGGTTACTGATATACATAACAGGGCCATTTTTGTTTTGTGACAAGTGTGGACTAGGGTTGTTTGTTTATAAAATTTAGCAAACCATCTACTCTAATTTTGCTTTATAACGCGCTTCGACAAAGCCTTTAGAGGCATGTATTAACACATTCATGTCTGTCCTGATTTGTGCCTGAAATGATACACTTAAAGTGCTGACAGTTCAATTGTCTTCATAAACAAACAGGCCCCAGGTAACAATGCACACATTGTAAAAAAAGAATTGATCAAGGTAGATAACTAAAAGTTATGTACAGTATCCATCACTGTGTATATATATGTATCATTGTTTTTTTTGTTCAATAGTATCTGTTTCATTGTAATACTTAAAAGCTTTTCTTTGGTCTTATTGTGAAATCAACGTCATCATTCTCCGTTGGATATGAACAGTTAGTGAGATACAATTACACTATATTATGCATTTTGTTTCTCAACTCCTGGCTTCATGTTTAAACTTTCTGATTTTTAAGAATTTTAAAAAAAATGAGGTTTAAATGATTTTTGAAGCCAGAACATGTATGTTGTCTTATGCCCATTGATTTGCTCAAGTGCTTTCATGGAGTTTGTACTTTGATAGTGCACGCTGCAATGGTTGTCAATTTAAATCTTTGCTACACATATAATATGCATATAAATTTGTCTCATTCAAATGATGATCAATGTGTTTACCTTCAGCCTCCAACACTTGTATTTATGCCTTTGTAGATGTAGTTCTGTGTGTGCTGATTTTAAAATTGATTTGAAATCTTCTGTGATTGTAGTATGCTGATTCGGTAGGTATTATCAGTCCTACAGCTTTGTTAGTTTAGAATAAGAATTTGCAATCATGGACTTTTGGTGACTTTATCAAACATTGACTAAACAAATACCAAAATCAGTAAACAAAATATTGATACTATCAAATTTTCAAAGGTAAAATTCAAATATGGCAAGTTCAATGCTTTTAAATACTTCAGGTGGTTTAATATGCTACCCAAATTTCCATGACCTTTTAACTGTGGTACAAAGTGTTGTGCATATTAGTATGTAATGCTGCTGCTAAAATATTCTGACTATAAACCTCAATATGATATTTGACTTGAAATCTTGTTACCTTGGTTTCTTTCCACGTTACATGTTGCCTAGGTGTTTAGGTTTTACCAGTGGACATTTAAACATGTGTTTAATGCTAGGAAATCTTTTCAACCTTTAGTTTAAACCTTAGTGCAGTATTTTGCCTAAGAATTATAACCAGATGAATTATGTCTGATAATTTGTTAAATGTAGTCGTTTTCCTAATGAATGTATTGCCTATGATTCGTTTGTTTACAACATGTATTTCTCTATAACAGTATGGCCTAGGTTGAACAGAGGGAGAAAAGTCCAGTAGCTTTACAACATAAGTCTTTTAAGTTGCTCATGTTAAATGTTGTCTATACATCACTATAAAGTGATTTTAACCAATCAAATGATCAAATAAAATCATTCTAGAAATATACATGTTTTATTCATTTCTTATATTGTAAATATACAACCGTAGAGTTTTCACAACATCATGTCACACCTGCCATATACACCACACCCACCTGCCAGGTATCTTGGATACCACATCAGCTACATATCTAGGATACAACCTGTTAACTTGTACAACATATTGTCTCTTCTCCCATCTTGATTATCATTTTATGATGTGCAAACGCATCTGTAAATTATTTTTTAATGAACTGAACACAGATTTCATGATCTTGTTCAGTTCTGACTAAGAATCTGGTCTTGGACCTTAATAACTATTTCCCATCACATTCTGACTGGAATAGAACAGTTAACAAATACAGAAAGTTAACATGTTCAACATGATATTTCTTCTAGTCCATGGTGGATGAAAGAATTGAAAATGGCATCAGCTACTCTTGGAAAACAGTGGACAAAAGCCCAGATAATGAATTGAATAAGCACCAAATAGCAAACTCTGTGATTAAAGATTAACATTGTGAGCACTAAAATTGTAACAAAACAAAATCCACATATCAGAAAAAGAGTCCATCAACCTTTGTGTCAAATTTGTCATTCTACATCCCTTCAGTGAAAATACCATACATGCAGGTGATCACTTGTCATTCCTCATCTTGCGGTCGGCCTGTTTGAGTCCTATCCAAGTATTCAGTTGTTTAGCACGGATCTTGCTCCAGATGACATGGTCGGTCAGAGAAAGGATTTGAGCGGCGGCCAGACCAGCAGCTTCTGGGTACATCACTGTAGCACATCCTAGACCTACAACATAAGTTTCACTACTGTAAATTCTGAGAAAAATTGATAACCAGGGAGTCATTATTAAAATTAGTACCAGTACACCACGTTATCCTTCAGCATGTACACTAGACTACCGACTGGTGGTCATACCATAATAATAAATGTCATGGCTAAACTTTAATTCCACTTATTCTAGGTTAAATTCTATCAATGCGACAGGTTATACTAGTCTTACTCTAACGACCATTCATGAATTTTTCTAAACCTTATGATTCTTATGAAATATTTTTAGAAGACTAAATGTTTATTTAGAAAACTAGAAAATAATTAATTTTCAATTTTTAAGAATAACTGATGCATTGCAATATTGGATAACCTAAATATTGCCATCAGTAAGACAGCAAATTTGTTAAGTAGATATCTGGTTTTATGGACATACCTTTATATTGTTTTTCATTTGAGATAATTAAATAATTTTTGAAAGATAAGTATGCCCAAAGTAAAGGCCTTAAATCATTTTTTACCTGATGGCAGTCTCATGGAGGACCATATGTCATGGGCTGCCCACTCTCCTGACAATGGGGGACAGTTGATAACTGGCCATGAAGAACTGCCGGACAACACTGGCCCCAGACCGTTACTTCTCCCAGCAACAGCAATAAAAACAGTAGGTATACCTTCGCCTGTCAAAATACATGAAAAAACTGATCAATGTAAGATTAAAATATAATACTAAATAATTTTATACAATAGCCATATAAAAGGGCAATAACTCCAGTTATCACATCAATATGACCGCTACATAGATTTGCAAAAATAATCTTTTGATACTGTATCATTCTTGCATTAGAACATCAGGCATATTTGATCAAATAGTGGAATTCTCTGATACCCACCTTCGTAATCAGCCAGTATCCTGAGTGTTTCTTCTGTGCCTTTGTGAGCTGATGTGACTCTCAGTTCACATGGAACACCCAATGACTTGCAGCTAGCCTTAATCTTTTCAGCATGGGTGGAATCAGACGCAGACCCCATCAAAACAACAGCTCTGGCAGTAGGTTTAGGCGACAGCAGCTGTAATGATAAATACATTGTGTTACTCTCACTCAGTTGTGAGAGATTCTTTTAAGATGATCAACCCTCAAAAAAAGAAGTATTGCTTTACTCCTGAATAAGTTGTGGTTTTGTTTTGGTACCATGAACATGTATAAATATAGTGAAAGTTAAAAGTAAATGAATTCCAAACACTGTGATGGTATTGAAGTCTAGTCTGGCCTCAAGCTGACCAAGAGTCATATTGAACAACCTTATTTATTTTACAATGTTTACTTTCTCATCATCTCCTCGCTTTCTCTCTAATGATAAGCACCATGCCACCCGCTTATCTAACGACCTTGACCTTTAACAACAAGTAGACTGTGTGCTACTTTTAACCTCACCACTATGCTGACCCATTGTAACTCTTATAACCTATAATGTCTTCCTGCTAACTGATCTGTTATTCTTTGCTAGCTCTATGTGTAACAATCAACATACTCAATACACACATGTACCTTGACTCTCTCTGCAACCCATTCAAAGTTACGCTTCACAGTATCCAAGGCTTCCTTAGTAACCTCCTTTAGTTCTCTGTAAACTTGTTTATCCTTCATCAACCGACGGTCTCCTGCTGGCCACAGACGCCACGAGTCACTGTCTATAGTGTCCGCCAGTACTATTTCACCTGTAAATCACACCCTAACTGTATTTTGGGACTATCGTGTCTGATAAGTCAGTATACAGCCTGGCATCTTTTATATTGTAGGATTTTATGTAAAGGGTCAATAGGTCAATAAAACAACTGAATTAGAGAAAAACTGTGGTAAGACCTGATCCTCAAGTAAATCTATTGCATAAGTTTGTTGGTTTATTGTAAACAATAAAACCTATAAACCTACCAATCAGCTACTAACCAATTATTATGTATAAATTAAAAATTGAATTAAAAATCAAACTTTGCTCACAATATCCTTAGAATACAAAGTCATGATTTAACAATTTTCTCGGAAATCTGACAAAGCCAGTTTCTATTATCATACTCCTTTCTGTCTATCTTTATATAACAGCTAACCAGTATTTTGTACAACTCCAAATTCTATCTTCATGTCGATGAGGCTACAGTCCAGTGCTGTCCAGCATCTCTCCAATATCTCAAACACAGTGATAGTTGTCTTTCTCATGATGTCCAGCTCATCTGGTCCAATCAAAATGCCACCTACACGTAATTCTGCCGCAACACACTGTTCGTACGACCACAAAGGGTCATGATTTGCATCATCCTGAAAACAATAGTTAAATGTAAAAAGTCATGACAGAAAATATTAATACATGAATCAAATTTGTCCTGAATTAACTTTTGCAAAATTGGGATATATCAATGTATTGGTACACCATTTTCTTTTTGGAATGATGATGTTACTTATACGAAACAAGAGGCCCATAGGGCCTATATCTCACATCTGACTTTGTTTTGTTGAAATTGCTTCATCCAAATTAAAGGAAATCAAATTTTTCATTTTGAAATTCAACAAGGGTCACTTTTTGATTTGAGAGCTATTCTTAAGAACCTATTTTTCGGGAAAAAAATGGTACTGTAATTTTGGAAATTACCTTGAAGAAAGTTTCTTGTTTGGGTGGACAAAAGCGAAAGCCCTCTTTTACCCCCTGATGTCTTTTGAGGAAGGACCCAGTGGCAACTCTCCTTGTCACCCACTCCAGTGGCACCATCTCACATTCTAATGCTACAAACTCGGTATCAGAATGCTGCCTCTTGAAGTGAGTCTTAATTCCTAACAAAATGTAATTGATAGGACGTTATTTTTCTCAGTATTTTTTTCTGCATTTAGTGTCTTTTCTTTAAATGTTAAATATTTCATCTATATACAAGAACATTACTTTTTATCCAAATTTTAATAATTTTATTTTTTCAACAAGTTAGCCATTAATTCAATTTGAAAATCATGACACTTTCTGATTTCATAGCGATATTTTATTCAAATAATTAATCATACTGAAACGAAAATTGAGAAATCGAATTTAGTTGCACTATTAACTCTATTTCTAAAATCATTATATTATATTTCTTCAGATAGTGTGAATTTTTTATATAACAATAAATCATACTGCAGCAAAAAACTGAGAAATAAAATAATTATTTTACCAGCATCATTTAGCAATTTGAACAAAGCACATGTAGTCGCTGTTGAAATGGCAGCTTTGCCTTCCATATCATGTGCCCTTGCTCCGTCTCCTGCAGTAATTCGATCCTTTGATTTAAGCATCACATGACCAGGCAAAGATTCAAGTTTGTACACAATCTTGGTCTTCCCTTCAGTTATGACTGGCCCAAGGGTATAGTCACAGTCACCATTTTCTGATACTTTTGTAACAGAAACAATAAGCTATAGTATTGTTAAACTTTTCACATGTAATGATTTAAATCTTTTATTTGCATGAAGTCATGCATAAAGAATTAACAGTGCTATTAAATGTATGAACTGAGTGATGTAGACCAAGTTTTCTCTGGCTCCTATACCAGACATTTTACACATAATGTTACAATTTTATACTAATCTCCATGTCTTGATATCTTAATTATTCCTAAAAACAGTCTGACCTGTGTGAGCTAAACATTGACAAAATTTCAACACCCCATCCCCGAGGACAGTCATGCCATAGAAATGTCCACAAACTTGAAAGTTTGAACAAAGGCTATTAACTCTTCCAAACATTTTTGAATCAGTTTAATTCCGTTCATGAAAACAATCCATACATACATTTAAATGATTTTGCAAAAAATTTAGTCAAGCATCAAAACTGTGAAAAAAGTGAACTGTTTATGAAAAATTGTTTGTTATTACTAAAAGAGGTTCAAGAATCAGTAAGAATAAAGAGGAAACCTACAAAAGTATTTATTAAGTCTCCATGTGAAATAGATTCAAAGTTGAAAACAGCGCTCACAAAATAGAATGAAGCCGAAAAAATCGAGACGGTCTCAACTAAGTTGAAGAAAAATCGTAAACATATTATGTTAAAAACAATTCTTAAAATATTTGAATAAACAAATATATTAACGCAATAATTGTTTTTTGGTTGAACGTGTGAAATAGTGACATGACAATAACAATATCGATATTGATGACTTTTTTGAAGAACCCCATGAAAAATAACCAAGACTTGAGCAAGTCTATAAAGTTTTGAAGCACATAATGTGACGTAAGTTCCCGCCACCATTCAATTGTCAAATGATGAAGAAATACCGAATAAGTCTATTAACTTATTTTACACCACGAAAGATATTGCCTCAGTGACAAATACGTATACTTACCTGTTCCGTTCATCTTTTTTCCCTTCTGATGTCTTAAAATGAGTAACAGGTGCGTGAAATGGAAGAGACGTTCCTAGTTAGAACTTCCCCACGTGCGACTTGTCGAATGACTTAAATCCTCCGACAAAGAAAATAGTTTTGTATCAGTTTTGGTATTTTCTCTAAAAGTATGAGAAGTTGAACATTTTCCTTTCTAACTGATATATATTTTTTGATATAGGATCTTACATTGATGATGTGGAATGAAAACAATGTAAACTTTTATACATTGTTTTGTAAACAACTTCGGGGTAGGAATACAATTTTCATGGCGTACCCGGTAACCTCGGGGTCATGTTACAGAAGTGCGGTGAGTAGAAATTGGGTAAGTTGTTAGTTTCAATTATAGATAACTATAGCTATCAAACATATTAAACTTGAAAGGTTTAGTTATTATTTTTTTAGAATCATGTCATTATTCACGTTGATTGTCAACACGCATACATGGAGTCGACTCAATCTTTTTGCTGTGGTCGACCAGGCTGTTGTTGTAATACTGTCACTTGTGATCAGCTGTTCATGATCAGTGACCATGCAAAATGCCTTTATTAAGTTTCCATGCTAACTGATGTTTATCTAAGACTTCACAGTGCCGTATTTATGGAATTTTGACAAATAAGATCGATTATTATTTTCAACGGAATATTCTAATTAAGATGTAGTTGATGCTGGTCGATCGTGGGTATAGTTAAAGCATGTTTCAGGATTTTTTAAAGCTTCGTTATGATTATAGACTTTAAAAATAAGAGTACATGCATGTCAAGGTCGTTATACATGTATAGGGTCGAAAAGCGGTCAACTGCGTGGGCATCTTGGAAATTTCCCAGGGACAGTCAATTACATAATGCTGTTTATGTAGGGTTGAAAACAAGAAGAGAGAGATAAAGACATTCACAAATTTAAAATACCACATTTTTGTTTTTCATTACTTAATTGTCATATTTTTTTAATTACCTCTAACAGAGACGTATATATCACATATGATATATATACGTCTCAGCCTCTAATTAAAAAGTTGTAATTCTGACAAATGTCTCCTAAATAAATCAATTTATTTTTGTTATATCGTTGTTAAATGTAATTATCTTTTCACTTTTGTAGTAATCAAGAGTTTAATAAAAAGAAATTATCCTAAGGCTATAATCAATACTAAAGTGACATCAGATTAGTGTCAAAATTAGGTAACTTGTCAACATGTTCAATTTACGGTTAAGTGATAACAAAGGGCATTCATGCATGTCACAAACTTGGTTGTGTACACATGCATGTCTGAACTAGAACTGGAATGATAATGTTAACTGATTGACACAGGTCATTCTAAGCACTGCTAAATGTAATTGACGTGGGATTATATATCAGCTGACATGTAGGTATATACATATCAGTGATATTACTTATGTGTAAAAGGAGAAATCAGTTATTCATCAGCTTGAAAGAGAAAAATACATGTTTTTATGAGGATTACACAATTTTGTGATAGAGGCCATTCCAGGATAGATCATAGGTATGTACTTTTTATAATTTTTAACACTCAAAGACCATTTCTAGGACCATGTCCCAAGTCAGTTTTTCATACACCACACTTAGATATCTGTTTTTGTCTAATTACATGTGTATATATATATATGTGATCATTTTCCAGTAAATAACATCATTGAGATCCAATTTCAGTCTGTCAGTCATCCCATATAAGTGAAAACATTATACACAAACTTTTACTCTGTAGCATTCCTGGATAAAATGAAGGACTTCCAATAAAGTTCTGAATGAAGGGGTGTATAATTTGGGGGCAGAGGGGCAGGACCCATAACAGAGAGCTTAGTCTAGGTCTGGTCCTCCTAGGTGCTGACCGAAAAGGGGGAAAAGTAGTGAATCTTCTTCCTGCTTGGGAAAGGAATTTTTACAGAATTTGCATGGTCCTGTATTCTAAATCTATGGTTTTGAGCATCGTCAATTGAAGAAGACTTAATTTTGAATAAATGATAGATCTAACATACATGATATTGTACCATCCCCATATATGTCCATCAAGGATACATCTGACCATATACTTTTTAATAAAATCACATTTTTCTCCAAATGTGACGAGTCAGAACTAGTACATAAACATGACATTCATAGTTGAGAATAAAAACTAGAAAATTGAAGAATCAAATACAATGTGTAAAAAGTATCAGGGTCAGGTGATTAGTTCTGTGGCTAGATTCTAGATAAAATGTGTATGGATACTTTGTTTACTTTCTGTTTTAAGGTAGGACACCAGAGAATTGCCACACAAGATAAGCAGTATGGAGTTTGAAGCCAACAGTAGCCAGACAATAACTTCTGATGAGGATACAGGTCTTCATGAGGCTTGTGGTGTGTTTGGTTGTGTGGCCACTGGAGAGTGGCCTACCCAGCTCGATGTGGCTCACACCATCTGTCTGGGACTGGTCAGTCTGCAACACAGGTATCATAAATCTCATTGTGTTATTTCAAAACAATTCTTACTGCAGTGCTTTCTTTCCCTACTTTGGGAATGAGGCAAACAGCTTTTAATTTGAGAAAAAAAGTGCTACAAAATCTTAAACCAGAAAAGTAAAGATAATTTAATATCTGATGTTTATTTGTTTCCAATATAGCTGATATACATTGTTATAGCAAAAACACAACCATCTAAACCCAGAATTGAATATACATAAGTTGTGCATGGGATGGTACCATCCAGATTTATTGAAAAATTCAACTATTTTGGGATTTTGATGCCTGGATTTGGAAAAAATGTGGTTTTTTTCCACAGAGAACAGGGCCTTTATTGGGCCCCATATTAAACAGAAAAAAGACCTATTGTAAACAGGGAATCAATTTTTTTTTTGCATTTCACCCCTTTGTTAATAACTTATTAAGGCAAAAATAAAAGAGTGGTTGAAGTTTTATGTTAAAGCTGAAATATGTGTCATGCTTTTGGGCAAAATTAACACTGTGTGAAGACAAATATCTTAACAGGAGATTAAAACTAAAGCAGAACAAATGTTTCACTGTACATAAAAGGTACATAGGGTTACAATAATTATACAGGTATATCATGGGTTCACAAGCTAAAATGTTACATAGATACATTCACTGATTGTAAGGTACCTGAATGAATAAATCATACATTTTGTAAGATATCAAACATATGCTGATCAACAGGGGTCAAGAAAGTGCAGGAATTGTGACAAGTATGGGTGCAAATGACTCGCTGCATAGACAGAAGAAAGGCATGGGACTGGTCAGTCACATCTTCAGTGAAGAGGACATGGTCAGACTACGGGGCAACATTGGACTGGGTAGGTCTGGTATATATTACTGGGATCACAGCGTAACAACACTGGACTGGGTAGGTCTGGTATATATTACTGGGGTCACAGTGAGGCAACATTGGACTGGGTAGGTCTGGTATATATTACTGGGGTCACAGCGAGGCAACATTGGGCTGGGTAGGTCTGGTATATATTACTGGGGTCACAACGAGGAAACATTGGACTGGGTAGGTCTGGTATATATTACTGGGGTCACAGTGAGGCAACATTGGACTGGGTAGGTCTGGTATATATTACTGGGGTCACAGTGAGGCAACACTAGACTTGTTAGGTCTGGTATATATTACTGGGGTCACAGCGAGACAACATTGGGCTGGGTAGGTTTGGTATATATTACTGGGATCACAGTGAGGCAACACTGGACTGGGTAGGTCTGGTATATATTACTGGGGTCACAGGGAGGCAACACTGGACTTGGTAGGTCTGGTATATATTACTGGGGTCACAGCGAGACAACATTGGGCTGGGTAGGTCTGGTATATATTACTGGGATCACAACGAGGCAACATTGGACTGGGTAGGTCTGGTATATATTACTGGGGTCACAGCAAGGCAACATTGGACTGGGTAGGTCTGGTATATATTACTGGGATTGGACTGGGTAGGTCTGGTATATATTACTGGGGTCACAGCAAGGCAACATTGGACTGGGTAGGTCTGGTATATATTACTGGGGTCACAGCAAGGCAACACTGGACTTGGTAGGTCTTGTATATATTACTGGGGTCACAGTGAGGCAGCATTGGACTGGGGTCACAGCGAGGCAACATTGGGCTGGGTAGGTCTGGTATATATTACTGGGGTCACAACGAGGAAACATTGGACTGGGTAGGTCTGGTATATATTACTGGGGTCACAGCAAGGCAACATAGGTCTGGGTAGGTCTGGTATATATTACTGAGATTACAACGAGGCAACATTGGACTGGGTAGGTCTGGTATATATTACTGGGGTCACAGCAAGGCAACATTGGACTGGGTAGGTCTGGTATATATTACTGGGGTCACAGCAAGGCAACATAGGTCTGGGTAGGTCTGGTATATATTACTGAGATCACAACGAGGCAACATTGGACTGGGTAGGTCTGGTATATATTACTGGGGTCACAGTGAGGCAACATTGGGATTGTTAGGTCTGGTATATATTACTGGGGTCACAGCAAGGCAACATTGGACTGGGTAGGTCTGGTATATATTACTGGGGTCACAGTGAGGCAACATTGGGATTGTTAGGTCTGGTATATATTACTGGGGTCACAGCAAGGCAACACTGGACTGGGTAGGTCTGGTATATATTACTGGGGTCACAGTGAGGCAGCATTGGACTGGGTAGGTGTGGTATATATTACTGGGGTCACAGCGAGGCAACACTGGACAGGGTAGGTCCGGTATATATTACTGGGGTCATATATTACAGGGTCAGGCGAGGCAACATTGGGCTGGGTAGGTCTGGTATATATTACTGGGGTCACAGTGAGGCAACATTGGGATTGTTAGGTCTGGTATATATTACTGGGGTCACAGCAAGGCAACACTGGACTGGGTAGGTCTGGTATATATTACTGAGATCACAACGAGGAAACATTGGACTGGGTAGGTCTGGTATATATTACTGGGGTCACAGCAAGGCAACATAGGTCTGGGTAGGTCTGGTATATATTACTGGGGTCACAGCTAGGCAACATTGGTCTGGGTAGGTCTGGTATATATTACTGGGGTCACAGCGAGACAACATTGGGCTGGGTAGGTCTGGTATATATTACTGGGGTCACAGCGAGGCAACATTGGACTGGGTAGGTCTAGTATATATTACTGGGGTCACAGCGAGGCAACCTTGGACTGGGTAGGTCCGGTATATATTACTGGGATCACAGTGAGGCAACACTGGACTTGGTAGGTCTGGTATATATTACTGGGGTCACAGCGAGGCAACATTGGACTGGGTAGGTCTGGTATATATTACTGGGGTCACAGTGAGGCAACATTGGACTGGGTAGGTCTGGTATATATTACTGGGGTCACAGCGAGGCAACATTGGGCTGGGTAGGTCTGGTATATATTACTGGGGTCACAGCGAGACAACATTGGACTGGGTAGGTCTGGTATGTATTACTGGGGTCACAGTGAGGCAACATTGGACTGGGTAGGTCTGGTATATATTACTGGGGTCACAGTGAGGCAACACTGGACTGGGTAGGTCTGGTATATATTATTGGGGTCACAGCGAGGCAACACTGGACTTGGTAGGTCTGGTATATATTACTGTGGTCACAGCGAGGCAACACTGGACTTGGTAGGTCTGCTATATATTACTGGGGTCACAGCGAGGCAACATTGGACTGGGTAGGTCTGGTATATATTACTGGGATCACAACGAGGCAACATTGGACTGGGTAGGTCTGGTATATATTACTGGGGTCACAGCGAGACAACATTGGGCTGGGTAGGTCTGGTATATATTACTGGGGTCACAGCGAGGCAACATTGGACTTGGTAGGTCGGTATATATTACTGGGGTCACAGTGAGGCAACATTGGGGTCTGGTATATATTACTGGGTAGGTCTGGTATATATTACTGGGGTCACAGCGAGGCAACATTGGACTGGGTAGGTCTGGTATATATTACTGGGGTCACAACGAGGAAACATTGGACTGGGTAGGTCTGGTATATATTACTGGGATCACAGCGTAACAACACTGGACTGGGTAGGTCTGGTATATATTAGTGGGGTCACAGTGAGGCAACACTGGACTGGGTAGGTCTGGTATATATTACTGGGGTCACAGTGAGGCAACACTGGACTGGGTAGGTCTGGTATATATTATTGGGGGTAGGTCTGGTATATATTACTGGGGTCACAGCGAGGCAACACTGGACTTGGTAGGTCTGGTATATATTACTGGGGTCATAGCGAGACAACATTGGGCTGGGTAGGTCTGGTATATATTACTGGGGTCACAGCGAGGCAACACTGGACTTGGTAGGTCTGGTATATATTACTGGGGTCATAGCGAGACAACATTGGGCTGGGTAGGTCTGGTATATATTACTGGGGTCACAGCGAGGCAACATTGGACTGGGTAGGTCCGGTATATATTACTGGGGTCACAGCGAGACAACATTGGGCTGGGTAGGTCTAGTATATATTACTGGGGTCACAGCGAGGCAACATTGGACTGGATAGGTCCGGTATATATTACTGGGATCACAGTGAGGCAACATTGTACTAGTTCATATGACTTGGGTCATAGCAGAGCAATGGACATGTCCAAAGTACAAATCATGATTCAGAGCTTTGTAAATCAACATGAAAGAAGAAGACAGGATTAGTAAAATTTATGAATCTGTGCATGCTGGGTGATATTGAATATTTAGCCTGTTGTTCAGATTTACTTAGGGCACATGCAAACAACGTTGAGGTATGAAAATAGCACAACTATATCGCAGAAGGCATTCAAGGCAATATTGGAGCGCCATTACAGCAGTTCTGCTTAAAAAACATCTATGAGATTTCTCATTGTTATCAATAAGTATGTTAACATATGTATCTATGTATTGAGGGGTAATCTTTACTTGTTTACCTTCATGTTGAATAAATAGGTCATACACGATACTCAACCCACGGAGAGTCTGACACTTCTAATGTACAGCCCTTTGTGGTGGAGACATTGCATGGCCTTACAGCTGTGGCACATAATGGACAACTTGTCAATGCCAAGTCCCTCAAACGTAAGGTAAGGGAGCTCAAACATTAACATAGTTAACACAGAGTCTCTCAAACATAAGGTAAGGGAGCTTAAACATAAACATAGTATACACAGAGTCTCTCACACATAAGGTAAGGGAGCTCAAACATAAACATAGTTAACACAGATTCCCTCAAACATAAGGTAAGGGAGCTCAAACATAAACATAGTTAACACAGAGTCTCTCAAACATAAGGTTAGGGAGCTCAAACATTAACATAGTTAACACAGAGTTCCTGAAACGTAAGGTAAGGGAGCTCAAACATTAACATAGTTAACACAGAGTTCCTGAAACGTAAGGTAAGGGAGCTCAAACAATAACATAGTTAACACAGTCTCTCAAACATAAGGTTAGGGAGCTCAAACATTAACTTAGTTAACACAGAGTCTCTCAAACATAAGGTAAGGGGGCTCAAACATAAATATAGTTAAAACAGAGTCTCTCAAACATAAGGTAAGGGAGCTCAAACATAAACATAGTTAACACAGAGTCTCTCAAACATAAGGTAAGGGAACTCAAACATAAATATAGTTAATACAGAGTCTCTCAAACATAAGGTAAGGGAGCTCAAACATAAACATAGTTAACACAGATTCCCTCAAACATAAGGTAAGGGAGCTCAAACATAAACACAGAGTCTCTCAGTAAGGTAACACATAAACATAGTTAACACAGAGTCTCTCAAACATAAGGTAAGGGAGCTCAAACATAAACATAGTTAACACAGAGTCTCTCAAACATAAGGTAAAACATAAACATAGTTAACACAGAGTCTCTCAAACGTAAGGTAAGGGAGCTCAAACATAAACATAGTTAACACAGAGTCTCTCAGACGTAAGGTAAGGGAGCTCAAACATAAACATAGTTAACACAGAGTCTCTCAAACGTAAGGTAAGGGAGCTCAAACATAAACAGTTAACACAGAGTCTCTCAAATATAAGGTTAGGGAGCTCAAACATTAACATAGTTAACACAGAGTCTCTCAAACGTAAGGTAAGGGAGCTCAAACATAAACATAGTTAACACAGAGTCTCTCAAACATAAGGTAAGGGAGCTTAAACATAAACATAGTTAACACAGAGTCTCTCACACATAAGGTAAGGGAGCTCAAACATAAACATAGTTAACACAGAGTCTCTCAAACATAAGGTAAGGGAGCTCAAACATAAACATAGTTAACACAGAGTCCCTCAAATGTAAGGTTAGAGAGCTCAAACATAAACATAGTTAACACAGAGTCTCTCAGACGTAAGGTAAGGTAAGGTTAACACAGAGTCTAAGGTAAGGGAGCTCAAACATAAACATAGTTAACACAGTCTCTCAAACATAAGGTAAGGGAGCTCAAACATAAACATAGTTAACACAGAGTTCCTCAAACGTAAGGTAAGGGAGCTCAAACATAAACATAGTTAACAGAGTCTCTCAAACATAAGGTAAGGGAACTCAAACATAAACATAGTTAACACAGATTCTCTCAAACATAATGTAAGGGAGCTCAAACATAAACATAACACAGTTAACACAAAGTAGTCTCACAAACTCAAGCATAAAGTAAGGGAGGTCAAAACATAAACATAGTTAACACAGAGTCTCTCAGACGTAAGGTAAGGGAGCTCAAGCATAAACATAGTTAACACAGAGTCTCTCAAACATAAGGTAAGGGAGCTCAAACATAAATATAGTTAAAACAGAGTCTCTCAAACATAAGGTAAGGGAGCTTAAACATAAACATAGTTAACACAGAGTCTCTCACACATAAGGTAAGGGAGCTCAAACATAAACATAGTTAACACAGAATCCCTCAAACATAAGGTAAGGGAGCTCAAGCATAAACATAGTTAACACAAAGTCTCTCAAACATAAGGTAAGGGGGCTCAAACATAAATATAGTTAAAACAGAGTCTCTCAAACATAAGGTAAGGGAGCTTAAACATAAACATAGTTAACACAGAGTCTCTCACACATAAGGTAAGGGAGCTCAAACATAAACAGTTAACACAGAGTCTCTCAAACGTAAGGTAAGGGAGCTCAAACATAAACAGTTAACACAGAGTCTCTCAAGCATAAAGTAAGGGAGGTCAAAACATAAACATAGTTAACACAGAGTCCCTCAAATGTAAGGTTAGAGAGCTCAAACATAAACATAGTTAACACAGAGTCTCTCAGACGTAAGGTAAGGGAGCTCAAGCATAAACATAGTTAACACAGATTCCCTCAGACGTAAGGTAAGGGAGCTCAAACATAAACATAGTTAACACAGATTCCCTCAAACGTAAGGTAAGGTAGCTCAAACATAAACATAGTTAACACAGATTCCCTCAAACGTAAGGTAAGGGAGCTCAAACATAAACATAGTTAACACAGATTCCCTCAAACGTAAGGTAAGGGAGCTCAAACATAAACATAGTTAACAGAGTCTCTCAAACATAAGGTAAGGGAGCTCAAACATTAACATAGTTAACACAGAGTTTCTGAAATGTAAGGTAAGGGAGCTCAAACATAAACATAGTTAACAGAGTCTCTCAAACATAAGGTAAGGGAGCTCAAACATTAACATAGTTAACACAGAGTTTCTGAAATGTAAGGTAAGGGAGCTCAAACATAAATATAGTCAACACAGAGTCTCTCAAACATAAGGTAAGGGAGCTCAAACATAAACATAGTTAACACAGAGTCTCTCAAACATAAGGTAAGGGAGCTCAAACATAAACATAGTTAACACAGAGTCTCTCAGACGTAAGGTAAGGCAGCTCAAAATATAAACATAGTTAACACAGAGTCTCTCAGACGTAAGGTAAGGCAGCTCAAAATATAAACATAGTTAACACAGAGTCCCTCAAATGTAAGGTAAGGGAAATCAGATATGATTTGAGTGTTCAGTTGAGTCCTCTGACTTTGAGTTTCAGGTTATATGGTTACACCCTGGGCTAATTGAGAATCACTCTGATATAGAGATAATACTTGATATCATTCCGTGTTTCAATCTTGTTGCTGTTTTGTTGAATGTGATTGTTACCAATATTTCAAACATGATTTCTCTAGTCACTGCGACACATTGGAGTATTTATGACATGAATATTTTCTGTAGTTACTGCGACATGGAGTTGGGTTGTCATCAGGATCAGACAGTGAACTAATTACACAACTTCTCACACACATGCCAGAATGTGGAGAACCAGATGGAGCCAACTGGGTTGGAAGGTAATGTAGGGGTTCTCTGGGAAGAAATTGGTCCAGCGATTATTGATGGAAACATATTTAGTATATAACTAGTACTTATTATTGTCTTTTGCTATGGAGAAATTATCAATTCAAATACTTTAACTGTTTCCTTGGAAACAGACCAAATTGAAACTTTCAGGTTTTCAGGACCTGAGCTCTGAAACCATTCAGAACTACTCAAAACTTTGTACAATTATCAAACTAGTTCTCTAGTAGTGTTGCTATGGAGAAGTTCATCATTTAAATACTTTTTCTGTTATCATGGAAACAGGTTGAATTGCAAATTTTAGTTGTATGGAGCATGATCCCAAAACCATTCAAGATACCAACTTGTACCTGAAATAAAAAGTTAAATCACTGATGTCTGATGTACAAAGTATAATCAGAAGATAAAATTAACTGAGAACATTCACATCAATGAAATTATAATCTAAAATATGTACAGAATTTTCAAAATTTATATTAAACCAAACCCTACATATAAACTGTACCAGGGATGGGACCAAGAAATACAAAATTTTCTTAAACTCTCTATTTTTAAACTTTTCAAACCTAAACTGTTTGTTTTAATTAGATTTTAATATGTGAACCCAAATAATTTAAAGTTAGTTTAATTTTAAAAATCAATTAAGGATTAAGAAGATCATGCAGGAGACGAAAGCATCATATGCATTGGTCATTATGAACAAGGATAAGTTGTATGCAGTACGGGACCCTATTGGAAATCGACCACTATGTATAGGCAAGCTGCTTCCTGCTGCAGCGTTCTCAGGTATGTTTTACATCTAGTGATTTCCAGTGATAGGTGATTGATTTTGCTTCCCCAAATAACAACAAACCTTAAGGGACAGCTGTAAATTCTACTATAATAACAGTGTACTGCGATGCAAGTTTCTTAATCAGTTTGAATTCATTTGTCATGTTTACAATTGTTGTAAACTTATTTGGCTCCAAAACGAAAATTCCTCATTAAGACAAGCAGATAAGTACCTGTTGAGGTAGAAAATGAAAATGAATTCTAAGCAAAAGGCATGTGCTAAAGATAAAATGAAATAATGCTTTCTGACTGATCTAAGTTTATAAATCTTCAAGACTACCTTGAAATCAGTTGCTTTGTTTCACAGGGAAGAAAATCCTTGATGACTCCGAGGTAGATGGATGGGTTGTGGCTTCCGAGTCCTGTGCCTTCAGCAGTATAGGCGCCCGATACTACAGAGAAGTTCTCCCAGGCAAGACATGTATTCTTATACTCACTTATTGTTAAAGCTAGCAAGAAATAATGATGATCTTTATTTAAGCATAAACTGTGGTTGTTTAATATTGCTACTACTACAATTTACATTTTTTAATGACAAGCCATTTAGCTTTTAGGTGAACACAGTGGTGAAATGTTTTAATATTTTACTGCTAGAAAATATTTGCTTTCTGTAATGAGTGAGAATTCATTGTATATTGATTACTTGCTTCACTGTTAAATAGATGTGTTATAAAGACTATGTGAATAGCAAAATCTTGGCTGAAATTTAATTGATATAGATTGACTTTTTTAGAAAAAAAAGTGAATATTAAACTGGGCAAACAGTTTCCAGCATCAAACAAATTTAAAATTATTAATACATTGCATATTGATAGCTATAACCAATTTGTTAAAATACTTTTTCTGGGTGAAAAAAATTGTATACATAAGTGGAAGGAAACGTCCCTAGAGAACTGCAGTATTTTATAATGAATATTTACAATTTAGGAGAAGTTGTGGAATTGAGCAAGAAGGGAATCCGATCAGTATACATGGCTCCCAAACACAAACAGACCCCGCCAGCCTTGTGTATATTTGAGTATGTGTACTTCGCCAGATCTGACAGTGTATTTGAAGGTAAGATAGGACACTATCAGCAGTATTATCTAAGCAATGTTTACTATCTGTCTCCTGTACATTGTGGTTACAACTATGTTCAATGGTTGTGTGGCAATGTAGAAACACTCGCAACTGGGGTTTAATTTTTATGGCACTAACATGCACTAACAGCTTTTCCTCAGTTGTTGTAGAATAGATAAAGTTTATGCAGTTTTTAACTGTCATGGAATTTAGGCTGAATCATATTTAGATATGTTTTTTTAACAACCAAAATTTCTAAGACAATGATAATGTAAACATTGTTTAAGCAGTAATCTTATATCACCTCTAACAATAAAACATGGAAAGCATTTATGGGGGACAATCGATTGGTCTTGTCTATCCAGCCATGCCTGGACATTTTTCAGACCAGATCTCTGAATCCATTCGAGATAATCACTCCAAGCTTCATACACTTGTCAAGCGCTAGTGCTCTACTACTGCCTTTTACTATGAAGAAGTTCTCCATGTAAATGATTTTTCTGTTACCATAGAAACAGATAAGCCAAATTGTGAATTTCATTAGTATGGAGCATTACTCCAAGATCGTTCAGTAGAACTATCTGAAACTTTGTACAACTATCAAACTAGCGTACTGGAAGTGGAGGAGTCTCATTTTTTTGTTTTTTGTTTTTTATTTATTTACCATGGAAACAGACAAAATTACAAATTTTGCTGTTTCAGAAGTTGTATGATCATGCTAATTGTAGTTTCTGTGATTAATTCAAGAAACAATTATTGTGGATGTCTATCATTGCACCAATTTTCCAAAAAGAGATAACACTAAAATTTCATTCTGCTTAAAAAATAAGTATCGGGGGTAGGTATGTTTACCAGAAATCTACAAAATTTGTTGATATTTGAAGAATGATATTTTTAGTGATGTTACAGTTCTAACAGTTTAGAAAGTGCACCTGGTAAGGAATACTGTTGTAAGATGATTGATTCTTGTTCAATAGTAGAATTTAAATTGTGATATTACAGATGTCTCTGTATGGTAATGAAGCTGTATCAATGTTGGTTAACACTATCATAGTACTGACCCCAGTTGGATGATTTGGATAAAAACATGAAAACTGTAGACGCTCTTAAATAAAAATACAGATCACAGGATGCGTAATCATGTAAAAATTAGCTGCTGGATAAAATCACATCCTAGGACTGGTTCTCAGGTCTGACATCCTGGATAAAATCACATCCTAGGACTGGTTCTCAGGTCTGACATCCTGGATAAAATCACATCCTAGGACTGGTTCTCAGGTCCGACATCCTGGATAAAATCACATCCTAGGACTGGTTCTCAGGTCCGACATCCTGGATAAAATCACATCCTAGGACTGGTTCTCAGGTCCGACATCCTGGATAAAATCACATCCTAGGACTGGTTCTCAGGTCCGACATCCTGGATAAAATCACATCCTAGGACTGGTTCTCAGGTCCGACATCCTGGATAAAATCACATCCTAGGACTGATTCTCAGGTCCGACATCCTGGATAAAATCACATCCTAGGACTGGTTCTCAGGTCCGACATCCTGGATAAAATCACATCCTAGGACTGGTTCTCAGGTCTGACATCCTGGATAAAATCACATCCTAGGACTGGTTCTCAGGTCTGACATCCTGGATAAAATCACATCCTAGGACTGGTTCTCAGGTCCGTATTGTTACAGGGACATACTGTTACAGGGACATACTGTACATTGTTTCAGTATAAAATGAGACATTCTTCTACAACTCAGCGTTGATTATGAATTAAAAATATTAAGTAGATATTATCTTCATTGTGTTCCACTGTAACTGAATTGTCAGTGAGATGTGGACAAAGTGAAGCTAAGTGTGCAGCCTACTCATGAATAATCTGGGCTATGTATACGTTCCAACACAGTGATTTTGAGGTAATACTGATGCAATATTACTTCTGTTTTAGAATTTCTCTCTCCATACTACCATGTTAGTGTTTTAGTTTGTTTTCAGATGTGGTTATTCTACATGATCTGAATAAATTGCTGTGATTTCATTTATAATGTGTGTTTTACATCATTCAAAGACTGAATGACACTGATATGTGTAGATATCAAATTATGAAACTGTATTGTACTTGTAAACATACATAGCATAAGTCTCATAGTGTGTTGCTCAAACTCACCAAAGCAAACATGCTTGACTTCATAGCAAATACTGGAACACTCTTAACTCAGATAATTGGATAACTCAAAAGCTTCTGTCCCGAGTGACTTTGAGTTAACAAAGTTTGACTGTAAATACATTGTCACTCTGACCTTCAGGAGAGATGACTTTGAGTTAACAAAGTTTGACTGTAAATACATTGTCACTCTGACCTTCAGGAGAGATGACTTTGAGTTAACAAAGTTTGACTATAAATACAGTGTCACTCTGACCTTCAGGACAGATGACTTTGAGTTAACAAAGTTTGTCTATAAATACAGTGTCACTCTGACCTTCAGGAGAGGTGACTTTGAGTTAACAAAGTTTGTCTATAAATACATTGTCACTCTGACCTTCAGGATAGATGACTTTGAGTTAACAAAGTTTGTCTATAAATACCTTCAGGACATGTGACTTTGAGTTAACAAAGTTTGACTGTAAATACATTGTCACTCTGACCTTCAGGAGAGATGACTTTGAGTTAACAAAGTTTGACTGTAAATACATTGTCACTCTGACCTTCAGGAGAGATGACTTTGAGTTAACAAAGTTTGACTATAAATACAGTGTCACTCTGACCTTCAGGACAGATGACTTTGAGTTAACAAAGTTTGTCTATAAATACAGTGTCACTTCCTTCAGGAGAGGTGACTTTGAGTTAACAAAGTTTGTCTATAAATACATTGTCACTCTGACCTTCAGGACAGATGACTTTGAGTTAACAAAGTTTGTCTATAAATACCTTCAGGACATGTGACTTTGAGTTAACAAAGTTTGTCTATAAATACCTTCAGGACAGATGACTTTGAGTTAACAAAGTTTGTCTATAAATACATTGTCACTCTGACCTTCAGGACAGGTGACTTTGAGTTAACAAAGTTTGTATATAAATACATTGTCACTCTGACCTTCAGGACAGATGACTTTGAGTTAACAAAGTTCGTCTTTAAATACCTTCATGACAGGTGACTTTGAGTTAACAAAGTTTGTCTATAAATACAATGTCACTCTGACCTTCAGGACAGATGACTTTGAGTTAACAAAGTTCGTCTTTAAATACCTTCATGAAAAATACAATGTCACTCTGAAAAGTTTGTATATAAATACAGTGTCACTCTGACCTTCAGGACAGGTGACTTTGAGTTAACAAAGTTTGACTATAAATACCTTCAGGACAGGTGACTTTGAGTTAACAAAGTTTGTATATAAATACCTTCAGGACAGGTGACTTTGAGTTAACAAAGTTTGTATATAAATACCTTCAGGACAGGTGACTTTGAGTTAACAAAGTTTGTATATAAATACCTTCAGGACATGTGACTTTGAGTTAACAAAGTTTGACTATAAATACATTGTCACTCTGACCTTCAGGTGTGACTTTGAGTTAACAAAGTTTGACTATAAATACAGTGTCACTCTGACCTTCAGGACAGGTGACTTTGAGTTAACAAAGTTTGTATATAAATACCTTCAGGACATGTGACTTTGAGTTAACAAAGTTTGACTATAAATACATTGTCACTCTGACCTTCAGGACATGTGACTTTGAGTTAACAAAGTTTGACTATAAATACAGTGTCACTCTGACCTTCAGGACAGATGACTTTGAGTTAACAAAGTTTGTCTATAAATACAGTGTCACTCTGACCTTCAGGACAGGTGACTTTGAGTTAACAAAGTTTGACAGTAAATACAGTGTCACTCTGACCTTCAGGAGAGGTGACTTTGAGTTAACAAAGTTTGTCTATAAATACATTGTCACTCTGACCTTCAGGATAGATGACTTTGAGTTAACAAAGTTTGTCTATAAATACCTTCAGGACATGTGACTTTGAGTTAACAAAGTTTGTCTATAAATACCTTCAGGACAGATGACTTTGAGTTAACAAAGTTTGTCTATAAATACATTGTCACTCTGACCTTCAGGATAGATGACTTTGAGTTAACAGTTTGTCTATAAATACCTTCAGGACATGTGACTTTGAGTTAACAAAGTTTGTGTATAAATACATTGTCACCCTGACCTTCAGGATAGATGACTTTGAGTTAACAGTTTGTCTATAAATACCTTCAGGACATGTGACTTTGAGTTAACAAAGTTTGTGTATAAATACCTTCAGGACAGGTGACTTTGAGTTAACAAAGTTTGTATATAAATACATTGTCACTCTGACCTTCAGGACAGATGACTTTGAGTTAACAAAGTTCGTCTTTAAATACCTTCATGACAGGTGACTTTGAGTTAACAAAGTTTGTCTATAAATACATTGTCACTCTGACCTTCAGGACAGATGACTTTGACTTAACAAAGTTTGTCTATAAATACAGTGTCACTCTGACCTTCAGGACATGTGACTTTGAGTTAACAAAGTTTGTCTGTAAATACCTTCAGGACAGATGACTTTGAGTTAACAAAGTTCGTCTTTAAATACCTTCATGACAGGTGACTTTGAGTTAACAAAGTTTGTCTATAAATACAATGTCACTCTGAAAAGTTTGTATATAAATACAGTGTCACTCTGGCCTTCAGGAGAGGTGACTTTGACTTAACAAAGTTTGACTATAAATACAGTGTCACTCTGACCTTCAGGACAGGTGACTTTGAGTTAACAAAGTTTGTCTATAAATACCTTCAGGACAGGTGACTTTGAGTTAACAAAGTTTGACTATAAATACCTTCAGGACAGGTGACTTTGAGTTAACAAAGTTTGTATATAAATACCTTCAGGACATGTGACTTTGAGTTAACAAAGTTTGACTATAAATACAGTGTCACTCTGACTTTTAGGACAGATGACTTTGAGTTAACAAAGTTTGTCTATAAATACATTGTCACTCTGACCTTCAGGACAGATGACTTTGACTTAACAAAGTTTGTCTATAAATACAGTGTCACTCTGACCTTCAGGACAGGTGACTTTGAGTTAACAAAGTTTGACTATAAATACAATGTCACTCTGACCTTCAGGACAGATGACTTTGACTTAACAAAGTTTTTCTATAAATACCTTCAGGACAGGTGACTTTGAGTTAACAAAGTTTGACAGTAAATACAGTGTCACTCTGACCTTCAGGACATGTGACTTTGAGTTAACAAAGTTTGACTATAAATACAATGTCACTCTGACCTTCAGGACAGATGACTTTGACTTAACAAAGTTTGTCTATAAATACAGTGTCACTCTGACCTTCAGGACAGGTGACTTTGAGTTAACAAAGTTTGACAGTAAATACAGTGTCACTCTGACCTTCAGGACAGATGACTTTGAGTTAACAAAGTTTTTCTATAAATACCTTCAGGACAGGTGACTTTGAGTTAACAAAGTTTGTATATAAATACAATGTCACTCTGACTTTCAGGACAGATGGTGTACATGGTGAGACAGAATTGTGGAAGACAATTAGCCAAGGAAGCACCTGTAGATGTAGATATGGTCAGCACCGTTCCCGAGTCAGCCACGCCCGCGGCCATGGCTTATGCTGCTGCTGTGAGTACTGTTACAGTCTCCACACAATAATCTTTCATCGGGTCAAGTCTTTTAGTTCATTAGCTTATCTACAATTAACATCCATTCATGGTCATGTGTATTTAGACTTACATCTTTTGTACCATTTGGTTCACAATAAGATTTAATTTTTGAAAGACACAAAACTATTTTATTTGATTTTAAGCAGACATTTTGTTCAGTGTCAGACTTAATATTTACCGTTTGTTCAGTAGGAAATCTTCATTATAGGAATTTTACAATCTACCAGGTACACTGTTCTTAATGACCTTTAGATAGTATGTTAAGACATATAAAACCAAATTGAAACCAGATCTCTTCATCAATGATTCAGGATATAGAAAAACACTATATGATACTTAATTTTGTAAGGTAAACTTTGGCTGAACTTCTTGTGTAACATTATTAAGGAATTAAACATTGGTTAAAAGTAACAAACATTTGTCACTAATCAGCTTGATTCCATACAAACTGTTCTTGGTCATGATATAATGAAGGAAATGTTTTAACTATTCATGAAAAATAACATATACCACTTCTAACAGATAAACACACCTTACGGAGAGGTTTTCACAAAGAACCGCTATGTCGGACGGTCCTTTATTCAGCCAAACATGAGGCTACGACAGCTGGCTGTCGCTAAGAAATTTGGAGCTCTTTCACAGAATTTCAGTGGCAAGCGGATTGTGCTGGTGGATGACTCAATTGTTCGAGGTGTGACGATGATTCCTATTGTCAGACTTCTCAAGGCTGAGGGGGCAAAAGAGGTTTGTGGTTGTGATTGTTAAAAATAAACATTACTCAGTTCTCGAATGGTTTTTCTAACGCACGATAATGAGAGCTGCTGAAATACTTGCCACCACTTTTTGGGATTTTGTTTACTTAACCAGGATATTTCATCAAGTCCAAATGCAAGGAAAGTAAAATGAGCTAAAAAAGTAGCTTTATTATAGTGAAAAATGTTAAATTCTGGTATAGAATCATTTATAATGTCTGACATTGGTATGATTTGTGAGATAAGAATTAATGAAGTTTCATAGAATAAAACATTGTTATAGTAGCAACTGGTCAGATATTTTAGAGATATTAAAACACACTTCTTCACTTCTTGTATACAGGTCCACATCCGGATTGCATCACCTCCTATCAAGTATCCCTGTTACATGGGAATCAACATCCCTACTCACCAGGAACTTGTGGCCAACAAAATCCCCGTCGATCAGCTGGCTGACTACTTTGGTAAGTTTTTAATGATTAAAGATAGATTTGATACCCATGAAAATACAAAATACTTCAGTAGACATGTGCCTTTAAGTGTTTATTTTATATGAAAAAAAAATAATGTGTAGCTGGCTATTTCTGATTTGTTTTCATCACATCAAAGAGATAGGTTATTGAGTGATGCAGACATGATAGAAAATTGTTTCTTGTTTTGTTATATTTCAATGTTTGACTAAATTTTATCACATGAATACAACAGGTCTCTCTTTATATGCTGTACTCTCACATGAACACTTGAATTTAAAAAAAAACCTGTTGGTAAAGGAACCTGTTTATAAACTGTAGCATTGTCATTTGATGGGTATGTCATATGTTGTGATTGACAGGGGCGGACAGTTTACAATACCTTTCTGTAGAAGGTCTCAAGGCAGCAGTGACTGAAGGAATAAAGAGTGAAACAGAATCAACTGGTCATTGTGTGGCCTGTCTCACGGGAGATTATCCAGTGGAACCAGACTGGTGACGGGAAGGAGTGAAGGCTGCTGTGATGCTCTGAAAGACCACAGGAAATGGCCTCCCTTTGAGAGAGCTCTCACAGTGAAAAGTAACAGAGAGTTAAAAAGAGGTGAACTCAGTTACTCTATAGGGGAGATTACTCTGATGTTGAAAACGATACAAGACTCGGAGGAATTCTCCAAAAGGAGATAATTGTGTGAATTAGATATGTTCATATCCATGAATTAAGAGTATTCATGCAATAAAACACAAAATGATCTCATAAACACTTACCAAGGGGAGGTAACTGAATGATAAACTGAGAGATTACATGCAATGGCCATGAGAACTCTAATCTTAGGAAGACTTACCTATTGAAAGACAACTGTATGTTTAAGGCATGTTGAATTACCCTAAGAGATTTCTTGAAATGGACATAAAACTCATCAACTTATACCAGGGCAGACAACTGTAAATTAAGCAAGTTATTATTGACAAGCCTTGGTTTTTTATGTAATGAACTGAAATCTCTGATTTCATATCTTATCCAAGGGCAGACAACTGTAGATCAAGTTGCAGTTAGTCCCCATACCAAGACAATTTCATATAAAGGGCCACAGAACTTATCTTTTAGGGACTTCTAGTCTACAAACCAATAGCTTTTATGCAAAGGCTACAGAGCTGATATCATGGAAATTTATCAAAGAGGAGACAACTTCATAGCTGTTATTGTTAACGTACTCTAGAAATCAAGAGATTTCAGTAAACAGCTCAAACCTTATACTGAAGGAACTTATATAAGAGAAGACTATTTGTAAAGACAGATAAACACTTCATTACCTTATACTGAAGGAACTTATATAAGAGAAGACTATCTGTAAAGACAGATAAACACTTCATTACCTTATACTGAAGGAACTTATATAAGAGAAGACTATTTGTAAAGACAGATAAACACTTCATTACCTTCTTTCAGAAGTTTGGTTCCAATGCCAGAGACTTTTTTCCCACACTTTATATTTGTGCTTCATCTTGTGCCAATATACCTTTGATCTTAATTTTCAGAATTGTACAGAATTAAGTAAAGCTTTAAATATTTATTCACAGATGTGCTAAAGATGCCAAAGTTTGCAACCTAATGATAATGTAATAAGTATGGATTAAACTTAATTAGTGTTTTAGATGGTTGTGGAGTTCGATTTTAAAACCAATCAAACATGTGATAGATTTTTCTTTTTTATAGTATAGTATATTTTAGCATCCAATAATCAATGCCAAGTTAGATAATTTCCATCCTTGTTTACAAAAATCAAGGTTCAACAGCCAACCTACTTAAATGTATAATTGTTTAGAATCCAATTACCACAAGATGGATTTCACCATTACAGAATTTGGAATTCATTTTCAAGAAAGACAATGGTGTTTTTTAATCAACAGGAGCTAAGTTGTTTCTATTTTGTTCTGAATCAGCAGGTTGTGTGTTATAGCTGTTAGGGTAACACTCATTTTGGTGTCCTAATTATCGATGGATTAAATCATCAAATGTTGCACCGCGGTAACCAGTAATAAATATTCATATTATACATACTTCCTTTTTTTTTAACTTTAAATCTGACTCCAAAAAAATACCTGCGCACTATATCTGCAAATTTACCATAATAATAAAAAATACTATCATAATCTTAGTCATAGCTCCATTTATTTTCAGTTTTCATTGATTAGAATAAATGATGAAGATGTTTATCGAGTAAATTTTGTTTCCGTCAGACCTGAATGTGACTCTAGTCATTGTGGTATCATCAAATTTAAATGCTGTTTTTACCTTTGTTTTTTAGATGAAAATAACTTGATTATTTTTACATCTTTTTCATGTTTTATTTTTAAAATGAATTGAATTCTTTAACAGATCACTATTGAAAAAAGATTTTGCATTATTGTAATACATACATCATATCTGCATTAATGTAGTATGTACATCGTATCTTCATTAATGTAGTATGTACATCGTATCTTCATTAATGTAGTTGAAGTCTTTAACGGATCACTATTGAAAAAAGATTTTGCATTATTGTAATACATACATCATATCTGCATTAATGTAGTATGTACATCGTATCTGCATTAATGTAGTATGTACATCGTATCTTCATTAATGTAGTATGTACATCGTATCTTCATTAATGTAGTACGTACATCATATCTTCATTAATGTAGTACGTGCATCATATGTACATCATATCTTCATTAATGTAGTACGTACATCGTATCTTTATTAATGTAGTACGTACATCGTATCATCATTAATGTAGTACGTACATCATATCTTCATAATGTAGTACGTACATCGTATCTTCATTAATGTAGTACGTACATCGTATCTTCATTAATGTAGTACGTACATCGTATCTTCATTAATGTAGTACATACATCATATCTTCATTAATGTAGTACGTACATCGTATCTTCATAATGTAGTACGTACATCATATCTTCATTAATGTAGTACATATATCTTCATAATTTGTAATTTGTTGGTTTTATAAATTCTTTTAGTCTTGTAAATCAAAAGATGTACATTTTTTGTTGCCTGTAGATATTATTACATTCCTGTACATACAAATACATTTTAAAATAAAAGATTCCACACACTATTTTATCAGTATTGTTAGAAACTGTTTCTATACCATGTATGGCTTTACCTTCTACTCTGCATCTCTTCATTTCTTATTTTTATTGATTTTTTTTTAGGTTTTTTTCAAAGATGGTTCTCAATAATTTAACTTACCATTTACCATCAACAAAATAAAATATTAAGTTTCAAATTTTTCACGTTCATCAATATTGATTATTCCTTGTTGATTCATTAGCCCTCTGCCTGTTGTCAGTCTGATACAGTTTCTGTACCATAGCTTGTGCAATGTACAAGGCAAAGCCACAAAGCTTCATTTGTCATTATGTGGTGCTTCATGCTTTTTTTTTTTTATTCTTGCAATTGAAGAAGCTAAAATTACTTGCTTTTGTTGTTTCTAGAACATAAAGAAAGAATTATTCCAGAAAACTTAAGAAATTTCTTTTGTTAACTTATCTGTACATTACAGTAATTTGGTTTGACTGAAAATTTAACAGTAAAATTCAGTATTTTCCTTTTACAAAAAGGTTGCTCATCTAGTTACCATGGAAATTTAGCTGACTTGTCCGTCCACCAATTTCGAACAATTTACTAGCAATCCAGTCTCTTGATACATTATCTTTCCACCTGGACTGGGGACCTATGGCGCCCTTGTTTGTGTGGAGTACCATTCTGTCAAGGTGATTCATTCTCAGGCTTATATTGATATCTGAAGATTTCTATTCACAGCATGACTGACAAGTTTTAATAAAGTTTACAGAAATCATAGGTATCATTACCAAGTACATATTTATGTAGATGTTTTCTTGTCGTCCTGTTCTCTCACAGTGTTTACTAGGCCACTTTAACAAATTAGTTTAGTTGGACCAGCTAGATATGGATTGGTATAAAGGTTGAAGGATGAAATAGTTGATACATTCAATTTGAGGGACCAACTGTACCGTCAGAGACTGTGTGACTACCCTAAAATTTCATTATTTTGGTATGAGGTGTGGTCACTGTAAACATATTCTATTCAATATAGCTTTTAATGGAGTGGCCATATATCTGGTAACTTTCACTAGTCAAAATTTTGCAATTTTCTTTAAAATGATCTAAGTATCTTTTAACAAATTAGAACATAAACTGACATCTTTACACATATTTCATTATTTCCTGGATTTTTGCAATCATGGTTATGCACCGTGAAGTTGCGACAATATCATCCTCGCGAAAATATGGTATATTGCATTAACAGTTTATCATTTTTATTACTAGCAGAAATTCAAGAACTGTGCACTAGCTTTAGATATATATGTAATAGTATTTTCAACATCCAGTGCAGAGTTCTGTTGAATCTGAAATTAGTTTATATGAACGCTTCCTTTGATCTCATGATACAAGGGAGATAACTACACCCATGAAGTCAAACATAATATATATATACCATTTGAATCTGAAAGAAAAACAGAATAATTGTTTTAGATGAGCAATTACTTTATTTATGAATAACTACCTCCATTTTAAGCATAAGGTATGGATATTATAGAGAGAGAATATCATGTTTGAATTTTCCCATTGTAAGATGTAAAATTTCTTTTCAGAATAATAATATTTATGAATTGCTGAAAAAAAGAGTGAAGTGCAATGTAATTAAAACACTTAATATAGAGCACTTTATCTTCAAGATCAAAGGTCAAGTAAGTCAATAATAAATACCTGTTACAAACATTTTCTATTGGAGGAAGACGTTTCTTGTTGCACACCAGTAGTTGAAAATTTGGCACGGAAGGATTGCTGTTTTTCTAGCCATATTTAGGAAATACTATGTCAATATGACACTGGAGATTGTTTCCAGGTACACAAGATATACAGGTTTTTTAGTTCCAACTTGTAGGATAGATCTCTGTTACTCCTTTACCAACTTGTAGGATAGATCTCTGTTACTCCTTTACCAACTTGTAGGACAGATCTCTGTTACTACTTTACCAACTTGTAGGACAGATCTCTGTTACTACTTTACCAACTTGTAGGACAGATCTCTGTTACTACTTTACCAACTTGTAGGACAGATCTCTGTTACTACTTTACCAACTTGTAGGACAGATCTCTGTTACTCCTTTACCAACTTCTAGGACAGATCTCTGTTACTACTTTACCAACTTGTAGGACAGATCTCTGTTACTACTTTACCAACTTGTAGGACAGATCTCTGTTACTACTTTACCAACTTGTAGGACAGATCTCTGTTACTACTTTACCACCTTGTAGGACAGATCTCTGTTACTCCTTTACCAACTTGTAGGACAGATCTCTGTTACTACTTTACCAACTTGTAGGATAGATGTCTGTTACTACTTTACTAACATATTAGCTTGATCTCAAAACACAACATACCACCTTAATATGAGTTTAGCAACAATCAATAGATTTGTGAACTACTGACCAACATATGTAAGTTAAATGACATCTGATAATGTTTTCAATACTATCAGAACCTGTTCCAGTTTATAAACAGTATTATCAGATAATTATTTCTGTGATGATTGACACAGATTATGTAACAGCACATCTTATCAGTGATCAAGTTATGTAACAGCACATCCTATCTGTGATCAGATTATGTAACAGCACATCCTATCAGTGATCAGATTATGTAACAGCACATCCTATCAGTGATCAGATTATGTAACAGCACATCCTATCTGTGATTAGAGAAATCACCATTGTATATACCGACATCTGTTAATTGTAATAATACTTCAAACATTGAATTCATAACTCATTTTCTGCTTACTCTTCTAAAGAGTTTGTCTTCTACTTTTCAATATACCCGAGGTAGATGCTTCCTGTTTAATCAAAGGACAATCTGGAATAGCCCTGGCAGGCATCAGTATGTTATCAGTCACTTTTTACTTACTGGTAACATTTTTCTATAAAATTCCAAAGGAAATATCTTGATATAGATAAATATCCTGATAACACTACCCATCCATTGTCTTCATAGTATCCCAGTGATCTAGGGAGCATTTTCCATCATGTCTCACATCAAAAATTCTTAAGCATGACCATTAGGACTACCCATTCATCATATTGTTTTCATTGTATCCCAGTTATCTAGGGAACATTTTCCATCACGTCTCTCTTCAAAAATTCTCGAGAATGACCATTACTGTACAGTCATGTCACCTTGCAGTGGTGACATTAAAAAAACCAGTCAAGACTTGGAAGCCATGATTGCTTCTATGTGATCAGGATCTTTCACACACTTGGCAGACAGGACAACAGGCTGAGAATCGGTGATGAGCACATTATCTTCTATCCGTATGGCAATCCCTCGATACTCCTCAGGTACACTGGTACAGTTAGCGGGGATATAAACACCTGTATAAATACATAAATAATGTGTGATCTAATAACCTTAGCTGATATATCTGGTAAATAATGTGTGACCTAATAACCTTAGCTGATATATCTGGTAAATAATGTGTGACCTAATAACCCTAGCTGATATATCTGGTAAATAATGTGTGACCTAATAACCTTAGCTGATATATCTGGTAAATAATGTGTGACCTAATAACCTTAGCTGATATATCTGGTAAATAATGTGTGACCTAATAACCCTAGCTGATATATCTGGTAAATAATGTGTGACCTAATAACCCTAGCTGATATATCTGGTAAATAATGAGTGACCTAATAACCCTAGCTGATATATCTGGTAAATAATGTGTGACCTAATAACCTTAGCTGATATATCTGGTAAATAATGTGTGACCTAATAACCCTAGCTGATATATCTGGTAAATAATGTGTGACCTAATAACCTTAGCTGATATATCTGGTAAATAATGTGTGACCTAATAACCTTAGCTGATATATCTGGTAAATAATGTGTGTCCTAATAACCTTAGCTGATATATCTGGTAAATAATGTGTGACCTAATAACCCTAGCTGATATATCTACATTAGATTTAACTATTTTGACTTCAGAATTTATCATATAAATACCTAAAGAAACCACTAGACCAGTATCACTGCCAGTAATTTGATAAAAATTGTTAAAAGTAAAATCTTCATCAAGCATAAAATTCTTCAATATTCTGATATGTATTTTTGTCAACAAGTAGAATATCTACCAGAATTAAATATTAGAATATTTTTTCTATAGTCTTAGAATCTGCCCTGCTAATAAGCTGTCTTCAGATGTTATACAGAATAAGTAAACAAACTTCTTAACCATCCTAACAACGTCACATTGCTGCCAAGTACAGTTCTATTTGTCTAACAATGACTCCTAGACTGTAGCAATACTGTGACCTTGACTGGCATGTTTCTATGGTAATGACCTTGGAGAATGAAGTGACTACAAACATTCCACACTTTGACTTAGACAAACCACAGTGGTAAAGTTTAACTTAGACAGACCATGGTGGTAAAGTTTAGCTTAGACAAACCAAGGTGGTAAAGTTTAGTTTAGACAAACCACGGTGGTAAAGTTTTACTTAGACAAACCATGGTGGTAAAGTTTAGCTTAGACAAACCAAGGTGGTAAAGTTTCTTTTAGACAAACCACGGTGGTAAAGTTTTACTTAGACAAACCATGGTGGTAAAGTTTAACTTAGACAAACCATGGTGGTAAAGTTTTACTTAGACAAACCACGGTGGTAAAGTTTTACTTGGACAAACCACGGTGGTAAATTTAAACTTAGACAAACCACGGTGGTAAAGTTAAACTTAGACAAACCACGGTGGTAAAGTTTAAACTTAGACAAACCACGGTGGTAAAGTTTAAACTTAGAAAAAAACTTGTGGTAAAGTTTAGTTTAACAAGTCTTACTGTTCACTGATCATGATTAATAGTGATGATGTGTGGTGAGTATACTGACCTGGTTCAATAGCAATGATCATGCCTGGTTGTAGCTTTGCATGTCTAGACACAGTTGGAGTATCATGTACATCCATTCCCAAATAGTGACCGACATGATGAGGATAAAACTCTCTGAGTCCCTGGACAAAATAGGAAATACTCATAAGTCCCCTTTCTTCTATTGGTTCATTGTTAGATAGAAAGATACCATCTACTATTGGTTCATTGTTAGATAGAAAGATACCATCTACTATTGGTTCATTGTTAGATAGAAAGATACCATCTACTATTGGTTCATTGTTAGATAGAAAGATACCATCTACTATTGGTTCATTGTTAGATAGAAAGATACCATCTACTATTGGTTCATTGTTAGATAGAAAGATACCATCTACTATTGGTTCATTGTTAGATAGAAAGATACCATCTACTATTGGTTCATTGTTAGATAGAAAGATACCATCTACTATTGGTTCATTGTTAGATAGAAAGATACCATCTACTATTGGTTCATTGTTAGATAGAAAGATACCATCTACTATTGGTTCATTGTTAGATAGAAAGATACCATCTACTATTGGTTCATTGTTAGATAGAAAGATACCATCTACTATTGGTTCATTGTTAGATAGAAAGATACCATCTACTATTGGTTCATTGTTAGATAGAAAGATACCATCTACTATTGGTTCATTGTTAGATAGAAAGATACCATCTACTATTGGTTCATTGTTAGATAGAAAGATACCATCTACTATTGGTTCATTGTTAGATAGAAAGATACCATCTACTATTGGTTCATTGTTAGATAGAAAGATACCATCTACTATTGGTTCATTGTTAGATAGAAAGATACCATCTACTATTGGTTCATTGTTAGATAGAAAGATACCATCTACTATTGGTTCATTGTTAGATAGAAAGATACCATCTACTATTGGTTCATTGTTAGATAGAAAGATACCATCTACTATTGGTTCATTGTTAGATAGAAAGATACCATCTACTATTGGTTCATTGTTAGATAGAAAGATACCATCTACTATTGGTTCATTGTTAGATAGAAAGATACCATCTACTATTGGTTCATTGTTAGATAGAAAGATACCATCCACTATTGGTTCATTGTTAGATAGAAACTATTGATACCATCTACTATTGGTTCATTGTTAGATATAAAGATACCACTACTATTTATATACATTGTAACTAGATATAAACAGATGTACTACTTTGGTTCATTGTTAGATAGAATAATACCATCTGTACTATTGTATATACACTGTAAGATATAAAGATACCATCTAGATGTATTGGTTCATTTATATACCACTGTAACTAGATTAAACAGATGTACTTGTTAGATTTATATACACTTGTAACTAGATATAAACAGATAAACTATTTATATACATGTACTACTGATTTATATAAAAGATACATACATTGTAACTAGATATAAACAGATGTACTACTGATTTATATACACTGTAACTATTAATATGATATAAACAGATGTACTACTGATTTATATACACTAACTAGATATAAACAGATGTACTACTGATTTATATACACTGTAACTAGATATAAACAGATGTACTACTGATTTATATACACTGTAACTAGATATAAACAGATGTACTACTGATTTATATACACTGTAACTAGATATAAACAGATGTACTACTGATTTATATACACTGTAACTAGATATAAACAGATGTACTACTGATTTATAGATTACATACACTGTAACTAGATATAAACAGATGTACTACTGATTTATATACACTGTAACTAGATATAAACAGATGTACTACTGATTTATATACACTGTAACTAGATATAAACAGATGTACTACTGATTTATATACATGTACTACTACTGATTTATATACCAGATGTACTATTTATATACATAAACAGATGTATACTGATAGATTATAAACATACACTGATATACTAGATATAAACAGATGTACTACTGATTTATATACACTGTAACTGATTTATATACAACAGATATAAACAGATACTACTGATTTATATACACTGTAACTAGATATAAACAGATGTACTACTGATTTCTATACACTGTAACTAGATATAAACAGATGTACTACTGATTTCTATACACTGTAACTAGATATAAACAGATGTACTACTGATTTATATACACTGTAACTAGATATAAACAGATGTACTATATACTGATTTATATACACTGTAACTAGATATAAACAGATGTACTACTGATTTATATACACTGTAACTAGATATAAACAGATGTACTACTGATTTATATACACTGTAACTAGATATAAACAGATGTACTACTGATTTATATACACTGTAACTAGATATAAACAGATGTACTACTGATTTATATACACTGTAACTAGATAAACAGATGTACTACTGATTTATATACACTATATACACTGTAACTATTTATATACACTGATAGATATAAACAGATGTACTACTGATTTATATACACTGTAACTAGATATAAACAGATGTACTACTGATTTATAGATAACATACACTGTAACTAGATATAAACAGATGTACTACTGATTTATATACACTGTAACTAGACATAAACAGATGTACTACTGATTTATATACACTGTAACTAGATATAAACAGATGTACTATATACACTGTAACTAGATATAAACAGATGTACTACTGATTTATATACACTGTAACTAGATATAAACAGATGTACTACTGATTTATATACACTGTAACTAGATATAAACAGATGTACTACTGATTTATATACACTGTAACTAGATATAAACAGATGTACTACTGATTTATATACACTGTAACTAGATATAAACAGATGTACTACTGATTTATATACACTGTAACTAGACATAAACAGATGTACTACTGATTTATATACACTGTAACTAGATATAAACAGATGTACTACTGATTTATATACACTGTAACTAGATATAAACAGATGTACTACTGATTTATATACACTGTAACTAGATATAAACATACACTGATGTACTACTGATTTATATACACTGTAACTAGATATAAACAGATGTACTACTGATTTATAGATTATATACACTGTAACTGATTTATATAAAACTGTAACTAGATATAAACAGATGTACTACTGATTTATATACACTGTAACTAGATATAAACAGATGTACTACTGAATTATATACACTGTAACTATATATAAACAGATTTACTACTGATTTATATACACTGTAACTAGATATAAACAGATGTACTACTGATTTATATACACTGTAACTAGATATAAACAGATGTACTACTGATTTCTATACACTGTAACTAGATATAAACAGATGTACTACTGATTTATATACACTGTAACTAGATATAAACAGATGTACTACTGATTTATATACACACTGTAACTAGATATAAACAGATGTACTACTGATTTATATACACTGTAACTAGATATAAACAGATGTACTACTGATTTATATACACTGTAACTATAAACAGATGTACACTGTATATACTAGATATAAACAGATGTACTACTGATTTATATACACTGTACTACTGTAACTAGATATAAACAGATGTACTACTGATTTATATACACTGTAACTAGATATAAACAGATGTACTACTGATTTATATACACTGTAACTAGATATAAACAGATGTACTACTGATTTATATACACTGTAACTAGATATAAACAGATGTACTACTGATTTATATACACTGTAACTAGATATAAACAGATGTACTACTGATTTATATACACTGTAACAGATATAAACAGATGTAACTAGATATAAACAGATGTACTACTGATTTATATACACTGTAACTAGATATAAACAGATGTACTACTGATTTATATACACTGTAACTAGAAATAAACAGATGTACTACTGATTTATATACACTGTAACTAGATATAAACAGATGTACTACTGATTTATATACACTGTAACTAGATATAAACAGATGTAACTATACTACTGATTTATATACACTGTAACTAGATATAAACAGATGTACTACTGATTTATAGATTATATACACTGTAACTAGATATAAACAGATGTACTACTGATTTATATACACTGTAACTAGATATAAACAGATGTACTACTGATTTATATACACTGTAACTAGATATAAACAGATGTACTACTGATTTATATACACTGTAACTAGATATAAACAGATGTACTACTGATTTATATACACTGTAACTAGATATAAACAGATGTACTACTGATTTATATACACTGTAACTAGATATAAACAGATGTACTACTGATTTATATACACTGTAACTAGATATAAACAGATGTACTACTGATTTATATACACTGTAACTAGATATAAACAGATGTACTACTGATTTATATACACTGTAACTAGATATAAACAGATGTACTACTGATTTATATATAACATACACTGTAACTAGTTATAGACATGTTAAGCCTATTCTCATAAATAAAAGATCTCATGCACTACCCAGTGCTGGAGTTTTCCTTCTTGTCCTCTAATTTTACATCATATCTGGTACCAAGTGAAGTCATAATGAAAATGATGTCAAATTCAACTGTCATTCTGATGTAGAAACTGCACACGGAGGTAATAAAATTAAATCCAGATATTTAAGATTGAAAATAAATTAGAAAAGTTTAAGCAGTTTTGACAAAATCAAGTACAAAATCTACAATTTATCACCTGTGTATGTTGGTGACTGATTGTCTTTGAGTAACACCAGTCTATACTCCTAAAATACTATAAATATACTTATCTTATATACTTATATACTTTATAAACAGGCCAAACACGTACAGCCAGTCTATACTACTAATATAAATATACTTATCTTATATACTTATATACTTTATAAACAGGCCAAACATGTACAGCCAGTCTATACTACTAATATACTATAATTATACTTATCTTTGTATACTTTAGCACATTATGGAATTTCATGATATGTTTATTTATTGTATTGTATATATGGGAGATCATTGATAACACTTCCATGGTCCTGATGCTGAATTAGTTCTATCAGTAAGCAATGTGTATATATGGGAGATCATTGATAACACTTCCATGGTCCTGATGCTGAATTAGTTCTATCAGTAAGCAATGTGTATATATGGGAGATCATTGATAACACTTCCATGGTCCTGATGCTGAATTAGTTCTATCAGTAAGCAATGTGTATATATGGGAGATCATTGATAACACTTCCATGGTCCTGATGCTGAATTAGTTCTATCAGTAAGCAATGTGTATATATGGGAGATCATTGATAACACTTCCATGGTCCTGATGCTGAATTAGTTCTATCAGTAAGCAATGTGTATATATGGGAGATCATTGATAACACTTCCATGGTCCTGATGCTGAATTAGTTCTATCAGTAAGCAATGTGTATATATGGGAGATCATTGATAACACTTCCATGGACCTGATGCTGAATTAGTTCTATCAGTAAGCAATGTGTATATATGGGAGATCATTGATAACACTTCCATGGTCCTGATGCTGAATTAGTTCTATCAGTAAGCAATGTGTATATATGGGAGATCATTGATAACACTTCCATGGACCTGATGCTGAGTTGGTTCTATCAGTAAGCAATGTGTATATATGGGAGATCATTGATAACACTTCCATGGACCTGATGCTAAGCTGGTTCTATTATTAAGCAATGTGTACATCATATCCAGAGATTTGAAGCCACACCTACCTGGAAGTAATTTGTTGACTTGCTTTTAGGCTGAATTAGACCGAGCGATACAAGTTCCTCTCCCAACAGATGGAGCATGTACACATAAATCTGTTCCAGAGAGAACTCTGGGTTACAAAGGGAGATCACTTTGAGCTGGATACGTAAAACCACATCATAAAGACGTCGCTGTACGGCACTGAACCGACCTGAAATGTAGGAAAAAATAGCTCTAGCACACATTGATATAATACTAAGTATGGTGAACTCCCTTTCCAAGAAAACATCATTATGTTGGACAATGTAGGTGCTTATATCTTTAATGCACTTAGTCTTTAATAATACTCATCATGCATGTATGGGTGCAAGTGCGCATTTTATTTGTAACATATGCTGAACTTTCAAGATGTCAACCTTAATTATGGAACGTACCTTCCTTTCATTTACTTACAGCATGAATAAGTTGAAAAAAAAAGTGATTCTGGTGGCATTGATTCCCCAGATCTGGAAAATTGTAACTTCTGCACAGGGGAAAAACCAGCTATGGTCTTAGTTCAGATAATGGTAGACTAGCTACTATACCAAGGAAGATAACTCCCTACATGTGCCTACCTGACACTGGCCAGGTTCTTGTAAGGTCACTACAAAAGCCGTGGTATTCACATCCTGCATCCATCAGCACCATTTCACCGGCTGGAACTATTTGATTGTTTTTAGTGTAATGTATGGTGTTTCCATGGTTGCCACCTAAACAATACAGATTTTTTTTTAAACATAGTTGTAATCAGGTTTTGTTCTATACTTTTTTCTTACATTCAAAATACATGTAGAACAAGAGGCTGTTTAATGTTTAAGTTAAAAAATTCTACTTGAAAACAACTGTAAATCCAAACAGAATGAGTCATCATCAGAAAAATGTATTAGGTTCAAGAATCAAGAACAGGACAATGCAAATATTAGAAAATATTTGAAATAATTTTGAAATTACACCGAAAATTTATCCAGGGTTACTGTTTCCATAGTTACGTGTAACAACATCTGGGCAGTTATAAGAAGTTATACATATATCAGACTACTGCACACATTTTAAAACAAATATTGCATTAAGTCGATACATAATCAGAGATGTTGGCAATAGTTACCAGCAACAACAGGTGGATAAGCCAACATCTGAGCATCTCGTAATTTACATTCAAACTCCATTTTGGCTTGAAGGTAAGATTCATTCACCTAAAAAAAAAAAACAATGTATAATATGTGCATAAGTATTCCTTTGTACCATTACATTGTTAACTTATAAACAAGGAAGTTTTAGATTACTGAAGGAAAGTCCTAATAAATATAAAGCCAACACTTTTTTTTTTATTTAGTTATTATGAAAATTCAAGATGGGAGAACTGACCTGAGGATAGGAAAACTTCATGACTTCTTCCAATGACTCAGAGGCTATATCTACACTTCTTTGCATGAGTTGAACTTCTGCAGGTGATTTGATGACTCTGGTCTTGTGTATACTCCGTATGGTGGTCTCCACACACTTTTGTTTGCCCTGAAGTATGAAGTCCTCGATCCCTGCCCTTCCCAACTCAGGATTAACCTTACTGTCAATATCATACCATATCACATAGTTAGAATTGTGTTTACTATAATCTTGTAAAAATTGTGACAAATCCTCTGTGTTGTATGCCTTGTCCACTCCTGTGATTTCTTCTGCCCCCTCTGGGCCAGACCGCCCCCCCTCCCACAATTCCACATGAGGATCCTTCTTAGGAACAAAAAGCACAGAGGTCATTCCTTTCTGGATGCTGGAGGTGGACTGACTGTTGTGTAAGATTAGAACACTGTCTGATTCCTGGAAACCACTGAGATAATGGAAATCTGTGTTTTGTCTAAAGGGGTATGGTATTGCTGGTGTCATGTAAAGTCTACATGCTGATGGAAATATCATGATATGGTCCTTCACATTTTTTGAACCTTCAAACTGATCCAAGACAAGCTTAAACACATTGTGACGTCTTTGGCGGTATTCCTCTTTAGTGACAAATGGAGTTACCTCTCCTTGTTTAAGAAGATGGGGATGCGTTTGAGCTACTGGTTGTCCAAAGTTTCTGTTTAAAGTTGTCAACAGCTTATTAGGCTTTAAAAATCTTGAATAGGTCCTTAAGGCATTACAGCAACCCACTGAAATGGACAGATGATGTCAATCAGGAAAAACTCTTCACTTTACAATAAAAAAAAAAAATATACAAACTCAAAATAAGCCATAGCCTTGGCCTTCACCCGTTCAGTCCTTTATGACTAGTAGGAATTTAAAGTAAAATGTTAACAGAAGACAGACAATGGACACCAGATGACCACTAGATGCCTTTGGAGCAGGTGAGCTAACAAGAGAGTAAGACCTATAGGCCTTAACAGTATTAGACATCGATTTGAAACATTTGGTTTGAACTTTTCTACATACAACCCCAGGAGACGAACTTTTTTTATTACAGAAATGAATGCCCTCTCCACTGATCAAATTTGGATGAAATCCACTCTGGCATTTTGGAAGGGAAGAGTACATTTTAAAGTTAATATCCAGTTCATTTCCCCTTTATGGCCCCATCCTCACTTTCCCCATGGGTCAATGTAACTTCCCCAAGTGATTTGGTGGAATTAAACTTAGGTGCTAAGGAGAGTAGCATCATTTTTAAAAAACAACAGAGGAAATCACTAAACTCAAAACAAGTTGATGACATTATCGCAAAATAAAAGGAAGTAAAACGAAAATAACACCAGGTGTTCCTGAAGAGTAAGCACTTTCTGTGATATTTTGTACATCTTGGTCAAACCAAGTAAGAATAAAGTAATAGATCTACCTGGCAAATCATGCTAACAATCATCAGGCAGCGCTAGTTTGTGATTGATGCAAATCTAAAGTAAATTTTTAGTAGAATACTTTTCTTGTAAAATCATTTCTATGCAAAACACTATTTTCAAAATTAGTGGCATTAATTACAGTAAGGTAGGATAATAATCTCATAGGATGTTTTTGACAAATAAGAAACCCAGGATTGATAGTAAAACCTAATTCTAGATGCTGTGACAATAGGCAGAAACTGTTAAATGCTTTATGTTTATCTTAAACAAGTCTCTTTTATAGTATATCCCTAATTTTAATTCCATTTATCATTACTTCCTTTTAAATAAATGTAAAAGACCCAAGCCAAATAATACTTCAACCCATTAAGATGGTCCTGCTTTCAGGACCTAGCTAAAAAGTTAATTTATTCATCTTCCATGATAACTGAATAGAGTAATGAACAGTGAAATACAATAACCCAACAGATGTATATTTATGGTTGGTTGGTTACAGGTTTCATCTCCTTGACTTTTCTGATTTCTAAGCATTGTCCCACGATGAATGTCTGTGTTATGGAAACATTCAAAAGATATATTTATGTAATATAATCCTATTTGACATGTTGAAACAATGACCCTTAATATCATAAAATAACACTTGGTTTTTACTCTACTTTATCATAAAAAGAAAGTTGAGACAACACAATATAAATCTTATTTGAATATAATGCATGTAAATGGGATTTTGATTTCTAACCAAGGGAGGTAACTTTTCCTAGATAATCTTTGTAAAGTTATATTAGTTTAGCACGGTATGATGTGACAGAAAGGACTAACTGTTTAACCACATGCAATTACAGAAATATGTGGGGTGAGAATGTTGAACTTCAATACTGATATCATTACATATTGATGTGCATGAATTTTGTGTGTAGATTAATTATAAAAGTATGTTAATAAAACAAGACATCAGCCATATTTATAAAATCATACACATTACAAGGTTTGAAGCAGAAATAGAAAGAGCCCATCCCCATTCAATTGGTTGGTTACATAATCCATCTAGATTTGGGTTCTAGCCTTTTTATGACACCCTTTATTTGTTGCGAATGTTTAAAGGAACTTTCATGTATTCCTATTCCGAATTATCCCACATCTACGACAGAAAGCTCTCAAAAGTATGACTATTACCGGTATGCTTTGTTGTGCAAAACCTGTTACATCATAAGTATCTAATACGCTAGTAAACAGGCTGAGAACATCCTTGGATTTGCAAAGGATGTTGATCCTCGTCACAAAGCCAAAGATGTTCTCTGGTAAAAATAAATATCCAATTATCTACAGTAGGCCTAGTGTACATCGTATATCATTTCTACATCAGACTATTTAGTATGATGTGTGATGTATAGAGCGCTTCGAAATTTTCACTGGGTTACATTGTAGATACATGTGCATGTGTCCGGACTAAACTTGAAATTGTCGCCCTTGTAATTTCCATATATACATGTGAGCGTATGACCATAGTGGGATCTCTTCCCATTTTCAGACATAAATAATTCCTTACAATGTAAAAGAAACGTGCTTGACAGTATTTCATAATCAGTTCAAGTTTGATAAAGAAAAAAAAAATCAAATCCATCACTATTTACTCACTGTTGAAGTGAAAGTCCCCTCTTGTGGAGCGGGACAACCTGCAACTAAAATTTATCGCTTATGTTTTTAAAAATAAGAGAAATATCAAAACTTAAAACAGATTTAAATTACTTAAAACCACCATGATATGCAATGCATAAATATACTTGCATTGAACACATCTAAATGTTTTGAATATGTTAGATTTCAAAAACGAAACAAAGTTTTTTTATCGTCATATGGGGCATTGCTCAAATTGAACTTTTTCGTCAGGGAACGAGGTTGCTAGTTGCTGGAAAATTCGGTCGGCGTCACTCACGTGTATTGCTGTAAAGTGAAAGCAGAAGGTAATTCCAGCGTAAATGTTATGACAGTTTAATCACCAGGCCAGGACACACCAGTCATATAATGTTAATCATTCGACAAGATGTTCTGTTGTTTCAACATCATATAACGGACATGTATTTTTTGTAAATTTATGCTGCATGTAATCAAGGGAGACAATTTTCGTTCCACATTTTGAAGAACATCTATATAGATAATTTTGCTGCTATATACATTTTGCCAACAAGAAGTCGCGCTCCTTGTTGTTTTTCCTTAACCATCATTTTTTGGTATGAACAAGGCATAGATAGTGTGAAATATCGAATTCAGCGTTAAACCTTATCTGTGTGGTCTGATCATGAACATGCACATGTCTGCTGTACGTGTGCTGCTTGTCGAGTTGTAATGTAATGTAATATGAAGTTTCCTGTCGTTCTCAAATTACGCCTAGTTGATTTGGAGGCTATGGGAATTTTTAACAGCTAATATTCCCAGGTGAATAAGCCGGCCCTCTGGACGTTTTTTTTCTATCCAATGCTAACTTAGAATGCTTTGTGTCTTCAGAACAGAAGTGTAAAGATGAGTCTTCCAGCCAAGGAGTTGCAGCTCCTGCGGGCATTTGTACAAATGTGCAAGACCAATGCGGGTGTCCTCTACAATCCTGACCTCAAGTTTTTCAAAGATTGGCTAGAAAGGTATTTTCAATCTAAGTAAAGTCAATTTTGGTACAAGAGTTTGTTTAATCATCAACAACTGTAGCAGTTATTCGAATAAAATTTCATATAACACAACCAGTAGAAGAAAAATGTTTCAAAATATAGCAGTTATTTTATTTCATTAATTTGCCTCAACCCAACAGACCTGATGGTCCACTCACAGAATGATAGTAACGATATAACAGATATAGATACATGAATTAACCAATTTATTTCTGTGAAGAATACTGACTGTATGATGAACAGTTCTGAGTTTTCAGACATTAATCATTTTTAAACGAACAACTAAACTGCATGTTATAGAAGTACATAGAATTTTTCTTGAGACTAAAATATCAATTTTTTTTTATTAAAACTGTTAACATATATCTGAATAAGAACGACTAAAGAAATCAATGTTCGCCTTAAAACTTCGAAAAATTTGTTTGTACTATATCTAGTTGCCTTTGTACTGTTTCTAGTTGCCTTTGTACTATATCTAGTTGCCTTTGTACTGTTTCTAGTTGCCTTTGTACTATATCTAGTTGCCTTTGTACTGTTTCTAGTTGCCTTTGTACTGTTTCTAGTTGCCTTTGTACTGTTTCTAGTTTCCTTTGTACTATACAGTGAAACCTCACCTAATGACCACCTCAAAATTACGACCACCCCGCTATTACGGGCACTTTTTTTCAGTCCCTTTTTTTCCACTATATATCTTTGTATTGGTCGCTTCAGTATTACGACCACCCCGCTATTCCGTATTACGACCACTTCTTACAGTCCCAACGACCACTAATTAATGATAATTGACCTCACAATTACGACCACGTTCTGACCAGTGATTACAGTTTACCTGGTGGGCAGTGAACCGCGAACATCTGTGTCATTCACGACCATTGTTTTCGTCACGCGTTACCGACCCTGCCACCAGGTGGGGTTACACGATGTAAACATCATTATCGGATTAACTTGGCCTGTTCGTGTAAAACTACATGCCAGATAAGTTTTAATAGCGATCTATTGTTTGTTAATTATGTATTGATAGGTCGGTAGGTATGCTCTTAATCACTTTAGAAGCCCTGCATACCCTAAGGGAACTTATGGAATCTTTTCGGCCTAAATTCCTTTGATTGCACGCGAACAGGTTGTCGAAGTTTTTAACTGTTTTTGTGGCGATATCACACTCTCCATATCGTTTGAACAGCCAAACAAACATGTATCTATCCCTAATATTTTACAACATATTTTCACTGTCCCAAAACTCAGATGAACTTTATCACGCAATGACGACACAACGTAAAAGAAACGAGCTATCGCTAAAAAAGAAAGTTGAACTTATTCAGTGTAGTAATGGCCGTAGTCAATGACAACTTGCTGAACAATTTTGCATTGGTAAAACTCAAGTTCAGACCATCTTGAATTGGAAGGCCGACATTTTAGAGAGCTATGAGGAAAACAAGGGAAACGACAGAAAACGACCCAGTGTTAGATCATCATTAGAGAAACTTAATGAACTCATGTGGGAATGGTTTCAACGGAAACGTGCACAGCACATTCCTGTCTCTGGACCAATGTTGCAGGAGAAAGCCCTTGCCTATGCAAAGAACTTAGAATAACAGACACTGACTTTAAGGCATCAAATGGATGGTTGCAGAGATTCCGAGAGAGACATAATATTTCATTATCTAACATCTGTGGTGAAAGTGCTAGCGTTTCTCAGGATGTGGTGTCAGAATGGAAAGAAAAACTGCCAGACATTATCTGTGGATATGATGCGTGTGATATCTACAATATGGACGAAACTGGCCTTTTCTTCCGGTCCTTACCAGACAAGTCATTATGTTTTAGAGGAGAGGAATGCAAGGGAGGGAAGGAGTCAAAGGACAGAATCACACTCGTTCTGTGTTGTAACCTGGTAGGTGACTTTGAGAAGTCTCTCATCATTGGAAAGTCCTTAAATCCCCGGTGCTTCAAGAACACCAGGCCTGCTCAACTGTCTGTTACTTGGCGTGCAAACAAGAAAGCTTGGATGACCGGACAGTTATTCAGAGAATGGGTAACTGATTCGGACAGACGTATGAGGCACACTCGTCGCCACATCCTGTTATTCTTGGACAATGCCCCTTCTCATCCAAGTATGAAGCTGACCAACATCAAGCTTGTTTTCTTTCCTGTCAACACAACTTCTGTTCTTCAGCCTCTGGATCAAGGCATTATTCAGGCTGTGAAAGTTGTTTACCGCAAGAGACTGCTCTGTTCTACGATCGCACATATAGGTGATGGAGATCATCTTCAGGTAGATACCTTTGCGAAAGGAATAACTGTACTGGATGCTACAAGATTTGTGAGTGGTGCTGTCAATGATGTAAAGAAGGAGACTGTAGTTAAATGTTTTGCGAAAGGTGGTATCAGTGTAAGTGATGTTGCTGTGGCTGAGACAGACGATGACACTCCTCTTAGTGAGCTCAGGGATCTGTTACGAACTGCTAGAGATTGTCTACCCTGTGACATCGACATGACAGCAGAGGAGTATGCTGAATGTGATCACCAGGCTCCATCTAGGGAGGTGCTAGAGGATGGTTGGGAGGATGCACTTATCAGTTATACATTTGGACTGTCAAGCATCCATGATACAAATTGTGAAGATAACATGTTGCGTACACCAGAGTGCCCCGATAATGATTTTGATGAGACTGAGGACAACCCTATCAACTCTTTACAAGATGCTCTTAAAGCTGTCAAGAACTTGCAGACATTTGCTGCCAGGAAAGATCTCACCAAACTTTTGGACCTATTTAATTCAGCCGAGGACTGTATGGAAGAGGAAGCTGTCCAGATTCATAGCTCATCACGACAGTGTACACTGGACTCATTTTTTAAGTAAAAGAAAATGTTTTGTATTGTGTAATACATTGGCTGTGTTGATATGTTTGTAAATTATGTGAAAATTTAAAAACCTAAACATTAAATTCCAATTGAACTTGAAATTGATTGTTTGTTTTCTTTATTTCATTGTTTACAATAGTAAATATACATGTATATTACAATATAAACTAACAAAGGAATATATACATATATATTCTTTTGTCAATTCACCAATTTTATCTGTTTTACATTCATTTCATCAATTTCAATATTTTATAACCAGTTTATCAAACTCCAAGTTATTATTGTTGAATAATATACATGTACATTACTTAATGATATATATACATGTATATATATAATAGTCTTAATTTTAAACAGAGTTACCGTTCTTGGCGGTCAAACTGATCCACCTCACTATTAAGACCACCTCGCTATTAAGACCACTTTTGTCCAGTCCCCAAAGTGGTCTTAATAGCGAGGTTTCACTGTATCTAGTTGCCTCTGTACTGTTCCTAGTTTCCTTTGTACTGTTTCTAGTTGTTTCTAGTTACCTTTGTACTGTTTCTTGTTACCTTTGTACTGTTTCTAGTTTCCTTTGTACTATATCTAGTTGCCTTTGTACTGTTCCTAGTTTCCTTTGTACTGTTTCTAGTTACCTTAGTACTATATCTAGTTACCTTTGTACTGTTTCTAGTTGCCTTTGTACTCAGGGGTCAGATCGAACACTCGTCCGACCGGGCACGACGAGTAAAATTTTGGTTGGACGAGTAAGGGTTGTTATCATACTTGTCCACCGGACGAGTGGTTTTAACTACCTTGGTTTTGATAAAAAATGTTCTCATGATTGTGCATTAAAATATTCAAATTAAAAAATGTGCAAAGTCCCCATTCCTTTAATTCATAGACATTTAACTAGAAATAAAACGTCAACTTCCGAAGTTCCGTGAACGCTCGACATGGCCGTGATATAAATGGTAAACTTGTAGCACACATGAACTTAGTTCACAATGGCTGCTAAAAACACAATAACGTTCACTTTTCTTTCCTATCATTGAAAACAGTTATATCTTACAGTCAAATAGAATTTAGTTCAAATTTTCTCAGAAATGTGTGCAATTAATAATCAGTGACATTGCGCCATTGATCAAGAATAAAATACGATTTATTTTTTCATGTTCAATATATCGGTAGCGCTACCCATTTTACCCTCGAAACAATCAGTTCAGAACGAGGCTTGCTAGTAACCAAGCAAGCAAAGTCACGCTAAGATGGCGGAACAGAAGAAACTAACTTCGTTCTTCACTTCAAAAAATAAAAATAAAGAGTCAGAGGGTCAAGAATTAACAGACAATCTTGTTACTAACAAACAACACAATATCCCCATAACAACTGCCATAACGGCTGGATCTAGCAGTAGCAGTGCTGAGACATGTAAAAGGAAACCCACGCATTCACACAGCGGTGTGAATGTGAAAGCAAAAAAAGATTCGTATGAAGCGAAGTCTAGATACAGATCATTTAAGGCACATTGGGTTGATAGTTACCCGTGAATTATCCACGATGAAGGCAATGATTGTATGTATTGTAATATCTGCCAAAAATATCCTCATGTAGCAGATGTAAAATCATCTTTATATATCGGATGCGGAATGGGTGGTACGTTTAGAGAAGATTCTCTCTATTGGCATAAAAGGTCTGAAAAGCATGAGAGATGTATGGCTATGAATAAGAATGAAAGTAGGGTGCAAGGGATTGGACCGTTAGAAGCATGCGTGAAAGCGTTAGCTACAAAATTAGATGAGAGAACTGAAAGCATTATGCATAGTCTATTTAACACTGCATACGATGTTGCAAAAGAAAATGTTGATTTCTCCAAGTACAGATCTCTTTGTGAACTACAAATTAAAAATAATCTTGACTTGGGTAAATTATACATGAATGAAGGTGGTTGTAGGGAATTCATATTCAACATAGCAGCCTCCATGTCAGATGATCTGATTACAAAGTTGAAAAATACAAGCTTTGTATGTGTGTTGGCAGATGGTGCAACGGATTCGTCAGTTATTGAGCAGGAAACAGTTTATGTTAGGTTTGTTGATGATGGTTGCTTACGTACTGAGTTTGCAGATGTC